TGGGTGTCAGTCTTACTTTGTCTAAGTAGTGAGAGAATAGTAGCTAAGGAATATGGTGCCAGAGAAGTGGGGTCATTGCCATGACATTACCTGGCCATGTGGCTCAAGAGTCTTTGGAACTGGCTTAAGGGAAGGGAAAGAGGAAAGATTCAAAAGTGTCAGCTGAAGAAGCAGAGTTGGAAGGCCTTAGGCTGTTCTACATGGAAGATTCTGGTCAGAGCTCGGAAGACCAGAAAGCCAGTAAAGATCAGGCTTGAGAGGTTTCTGCTGGGAAGAGGGACAGTAGTGACTGTTGGGTTCCAGACAATGTGTGTTATCCCTTGCCAGAAAGTTTGTTGGCATTTTCCTTATGTCCAGACACTCCCTGAGACTGAGATTAAGAGTGGAGAACTAATTAATCTCACAGAAGAAATTTCTAGGCAGTCTAATGTTGAAGCCCTGGCATGGCTGCTGTTGAGGGATTTTAGCCAGATCCATATTGAGAATCGAGAGCAAAGAGCCCAGCAAAATGAAAATAGTTTTGAGTTTGGCCAGACAGGAAGCTTCAGTAAAGCTGTGGCCTGCAAAGATAGAACAGATGACATTGTGATTGCTGAGAAGGAACAGGAGAATAGACAAAACAGCCTGAGGGCATCACAAGAAGCAGCAGGACGCCAGCCTTTGTAGCCTCAAAACTGCAAAAAATGAAGGACTTTGCTTTGAGAAGAGAGCCCCAGAGCAACATGTTCCAGAGTGGTGACCTAGGGAAGTTGTTCTTCAGGATTTTGGTCATGAGCACTGGACCCCTTCAGCTAAGGGAGAAGAAAGCCTGGCTACAGCTACAACTAGCAGCAAACTTGGGCATCAAGCATGTGGTGCTGGTTTTAGGTGCATGAAAAATGCAAGAGTTGCAGGGTCAGGAAGGCTTCCACCCAGATTTCAGAAGGGCTGAGGAGCCAGGCAGTGTGCCCCTGAGAGGGCAGTGTGTGAAACTGAAGATGTAGTGGAGACCCCAGAAGTTTGAAGAAGCCATTCCCATGGATCCTCTGTGGAAAACTGCAAGGAGGGAGCAGAGACATCCCAAGAGAGAAGCTGTGGGAGCTACAACCAACTGGAGGCCCATAGGAGCAGAGACACCCAAGCACTTTGGAGTTCACAATTTGCTACAGAATTCTGGGGATGATGGAAGTGGAACTGTGGGATTTAGCGTTTGCCCTGTTAGATTTTGGACTTACTTTGGTCTCATTCCTTTGTATCCCCATTTGTAACTTTTGGAATGAAAATGTCTATCCTGTGCCATTGATGGTGTATTTAACTTTCTCATTTGTTCAGGGGCTTGCAGCTTAGAGTTTGCCTTAAATGTCACAGAAAACTTCTGACTTGGACATTTTAGCAATGCTGAAACTGTTAGGACTTTGTTTTGGCGACTCTTGAGATGAAATAAATACCTTTTTTACGTCATGGGACATACATGAATCTTTGGGGAGCCAGGGGCAGAACATTATGGCTTGTGTTTAGATGTCCTCCCAAACCCTCATGCTTTTTTTTAGAGGTGGCTGAATGTAGAGTGTGTGATTGATTCATACTGGGGCCAGGCTCTAGGGCACTAGGATGAAGGGTGTGAGTGCTACCCATTCTAAGTAGTCTGAATAAAAGGGGCAGAAGACAGTTAGGTCCTTTGTTGCATTTGCTGTCTTCTGCTGCCATGAACGTTTTGACCCTTTGTCACCCTGCCTGGGAGTCAGCCAATTATCGACTGAAACCTCTACAGACTCAGTTTAAATAAACCTTTTTCCCCTTTAACTTTGCGCATCAGGTATTTTGTCTTAGAAAGGTAACTAACAAAATAGGTATATGGAAACTCATACATCAAACTATTAAAAGTGGTTTCTTCTGGGCTATGAGCTAGAGTAGGAGTTAAACTTTACATATGCTGTATTGATTACGGTTTTATTAGCATATTTTACTTTTATTGATAAAATGCAAGGCCACAACTTAAAATGACACTAAAATAAAATTAAAAAATTTTGGCACTTTTTCCTAGATACAAAGAAAAGTGTCAGAAAGAACAGAAGAGAAATGGCTAGATTTAGCCACAATTATCAATAAATTCATGGTTTTCTTCTGAATCAGAACAGCATGGTTGGAGAGGCAGTGGGCAAGGAAGAAATTCTGGCCTGTTCCTGTGACTTGAAAGTAGCTAAGGCATAGGATCTATGCCTGTTGCAAACCTGGGCATCCAGTCCCCCTCCACTGTAGAAAGATGAAAAATGGCTGCTTCGTTTGTTTCCTGTGAGGGATGCAGGGACAGATGATACTCTAGCACTGTCTAAAAAATAGATGCTGCTGAAATTAGAATTAGTATTTATGCAGTTAGTATTTATATCTAATAGGAAGATTCTTCCAGTATTCACTTACAAGGGACAGAGATCAAGTCTGGACATAATGAAGTACCATCTTTGCTCTAGAAATGAAATTTTCTTAGTGCTCTGGGTTCCTAACTAGGCATTCACTGCCCCTGGATAAACACTGGGTGTTGATGAAACTCTTCTTGTTCAACACCGGAAGGAAGGAAAAGAAAAAAGATAAAAACACCACAACAAACCAAACGAAATCATGATAATGTGAGGATTTACTTAACACAATAAAAAATGACCTAGTATTATGGTTTATACCCTCAAAGCCTCATGTGCTCATAGGTGGCACTTTTGGTAAGTGAATGGACCACAGGAGCATGATACTTATCACTGGGTGGCTCCTCTGATGAGTTTATAGCTAAATATGACTTGGGAGATGCAGCCTTCCCCTTAGGATGTGGGTCATTGGAAAAACTGCCTGCCACCTCTGTCTCCCTCTCTGCTCCCTTGATTGCTCTTTGCTTCCTTCTGCCAAGTCACGGGCTATTCATGCTCCTCTGCCTTGGAGGCAGCTAAGGACTGAACCCTCTATGAAGGAACTGTGAGCCCAAAGAAACCTTGCCTCTTTTAAGTGGTGGATGTCAGGTATATTGTTCCAGTGATGAAAAGTAAGATACCTAGCAACAGGAAGACTCATAGGAGGAATTTCCCTTTGTAAACATGGGGATCCCATGTGTTCATGTTGTGAACACACAGCCCTGTGAATACATTTAGAGTGGATGCTTCCTGAGGGCAGAGAGAAATGTCAATCTCACCTTTGCATCTCTATCACATCATCAGTACTAAAACACATCTGTTCAACTGTAGGGTTTTACAATTTTTTGCCCAAAAATATTTTGAACCAAGAATTTATATCCCTAAAACAGCAGCACTGGTCTGTTTCAAACAAGCTGGTAGGTAGGTAAGTCAGTAACAGGGAGGTTTGTAGTTAGGTGTTAGGGTGTATTAATGTAACCAGGAACTAGAATTCAGGAATATGAAGAAAGAAAATAAATTATCCCATCCTTTTTTCAAATAACGTATCAAAAGTTTTTTGATAGGGCAAGACAATATCCTTACTCCTTTAATTATCTGTTTCTAATGTAAATTCAGATGTTTAAAACAAGGCTCATATGCAGAATATTCCATGTTACATTTTGTGCCTCATTACCTGCATTCAAGTACTATTACTAGAAATTATGTGAACTTACTTTGGTTAGCCTCAGTTTTCTTATAGGGAAAATGGGTTGTAAGATACAAATACATGTTAAGTAATGAGTATAATACCTGATATGCAGATACCTATAAACACCTAATACGGTGCCATATTTGCTTTGATTACTTGCTGCATCGTGTCATTCTACCACTTGACATATGGCCCAAGAAATAACTCCAAGAACCAACAAATGGGATTGTATCAAACTAACCACTTAACACTTTATCCAGAGTGTCACTCAGGAATAGAGTTTGTTTACATACTGACTATCCTGAGTGTTACTTGGGTAGTTGTAATTTCAATCAGTAGGTTCTTCTACTAAATATATTTGATAAAACTGTCACTTTATATTTCTGGTTATATTAACATAAAAATTAACTAAAATACTCAATTTTGGTCATTCCGAATTTAAATAATTGGACTGGTAAATTAAAAAGCTTCTGTACAGAAAAGGAAACAGAGTAAAGAGACAATCTACAGAATAGGAAGAACAGTTTCACTAGCTACTCCTTATGAAGAAGACCAATATGTAGAAAATATAAAGAACTCAAACAAATCAGACCCCCCCAAAAAAGACCTAATCAAAAAACAGGCAAATGAAATGAATAGAAACTTCTCCGCAAAAGTGCAAATAGCCAGTAAATACATGAACAAATGTTCAACATCTTTGATTACTAGAAAAGCAAATGCTGGTGAGGTTGAGGGGAAAGGGAACACTTTTTCATGGTGGTGGGAATATAAACTAGTATGACCATATGAAAATCAGTATGAAGATTCTTCAAAAACTAAAACTTTAAATTCCAGTTGACTCAGCCATTCTGGCATCTTCCTCGAAGAGTTAAAGACATCATATTACAGTAATCCACACAGATTCATGTTTATAGCAGCAAAATTTATAGTAGCTAAATATTGGAAATGGCATATATATCCATCAGTAGATGAACAGATAGAGGGAATGGGGTATTTATATACAATGGAGTTCTACTCTTCCATAAAAAAAGCTAAGTTTGAGTCATTTGTAAGAAAATCTATGCACTTTCAGACCGTAATGCTAAGTGAAATCAGACACAGAATGTCATTTGCAGTTTCTCTTATACAAGAAACCCAAAATATAAATAATTTAAAAAGCAAAATAAAATATGACAGGAAGCAGGGAAGTAGATTTTGCAGATGAGAGGGAGAGCTGGGAGTGTGTGTTGGGGGAGTAACAAAAAGCACTCGACTGTGATATGTGCATCCACCAACTCCCTGCAATGAATGTATTCATTCCATACTGCAAACATGTAGTAACAATGATTTAAAAAAGGAAAATTAAAACCAGTAGCCACTATTTAGTGTGCTTCCAGTAAAAGCTGAGAGATTAAAAGGACATTTTCTAATCTGGTACCATGCTAATATCACCAACATTGCTGGTATAAAAACGGGGCAAGGAAGGAAGCTCAGACCAAGGGTGGTGTTATGGCAGAGGAGCAGTGGCTGACGCAGGGACCAGCCCACAGGAAAAGTGAGTGTAGTGCAGGGTAACAAAATATCTTCTCTTAAAGAGCTCAAAATATCTTCTCTTAAAGCCATTGAAAATACAGTCCTTATTTATTCAATACACCTTTTCTTTATTATCTCTGTTGGACATTTTGAGCAACCAGAACATTTTTAACATATTTACCCAAAGACATGAAGGTAACACGATGTTTATTTAAAAAAAACCAAATGTGGTTAAAATGAAATTGTGACTGGTATTTAGCTAAATCTCTTAAGTGTTTTATAGTTATCTAATAGGATGTAGTAAAGTTTCCCGAAATTACAGTAATTTGAAGTTGAACGGCAATATTAGATTACGTCATCTGCAACCACGGTGTCAAAAATCTGATAGCAAATTTGCTGCTCTGTACCATTTGTGACAGTGTATGACTTGATAACACATTCCATCCATGGATATGCATCTACAAATCCAAAAGGAAAGATATTTAGCCATTAAAAATAAACAGTCAAGTGGTAATCATGACTAATTTGAGCTTTTCATCAACAACAGAAAAAAAAATGATTAGGATTTTCAAAATGTTTTGACAACAAAGATATTGTGATCATCTCATCTCCAAATGGCATTCCTTTGTCTCTGCTCACTGTCCTAGGCTCTACAGTTGTACCTCATTTTTCGAACTTAATTCTTTCTCCATTTCTGGTTACACAATGGAGAAGTTAATCAAATATTCACATAAGGGCAACATTGAACCTAATCAATGAATTTGATTATTTCTCATCCAATTCGGCTTATGACCAGAATTGGAAATAGTTAAGTTTGGGAACTGAAGTACCACTGTACACTGGTTTTTTTTTTTCCTCATTGAAAAGAAAAGGGACTTGAACTTCCAAAGAGTTCCAGCCTTACAGCTGTCCTGCTAAAACACCCAACAGGGAGCAGAAATAGAGCCCAGGCAAACTGGGGGACATAAATGTCATTCCAGGGTTTGGCTCTGGTCACAGTCAATTTATTTATAATTTGAAGAAAGGTTCTTACGATTTTTCACATTCAAGTCTGAAAAATATTTAATTTGACAAGGGAAAAGCTTGATAGACACCTCTCCTATACTGCTGGTAGAAATATAAAAAAGTAAAATATTTGCATAAAAAAATCTGGTAGTACATATCAAAAGCTACCAGTGCAGGAGTTTTATTCCCAGAAATATACCCAAAATAATTCAAACTGCCAAGACAAGTTAAAAATGACAACAAACAAAAGTATACAAGTTATACTTTGTTATAGATGAACAAAAACTACCAATTTGCATAAATTTTAATTAAAGTGCAGTGATTGAGTGGGTAAAAGTAAAGCCTGGTTAAAAATAACCTATAAAAAGTTAAGCAGCTAAATTTCCAATAGGTAAAATTTGTTACTGATAAAAACTATTAGAAAAAACAAATTGTGTTATGATTGAGAGCTGCAAGTTTGAAGAGAAACAGAAATAATATTCTCAGAAGGAAAATTCTATGGCAGCAGGTATAATACCTACAATTTTTTATTTTTTTGGAACCAGGACCTTGCACTTGTGAAGCAGCAAGTGGACCTACAATCTGATTTGATGAAAGCCTGGTTGATTAATTAAATGTTTACAAAGAAAACAGCTAAAATACATTAAAATTATTAACTAAAAACTTAAATGCTCATCAGTATTTCTTCCATTTTGGAATAATTTAAAGTAAAATGTGCTCATGCATAAACAGTGCCAAGTTTGCGATCAAAACCGCTTCTTTTATTATGCAAGGTATGACAGAAAGTACAGTGAATGATTAAATTCTAAAAAAATTTATTACAGTAAAAGGAACACTGCCATTAATCCCTCTCAAAATGAATATATTTATGCCATTACTCTTGATGTTTTCTGAAGCAGTTCTGGAAGTACTCTTTCATGTCTTTAATTGCTCTGTTGTGGCTGAATCGATTCAAAATGTTTACCTCTCATGATTATATTCTGACCTTGGGGTCAGAAGAGTCAGAAGTTTCATGGTACCAAATCCAGTGAATAAGGTAGACTTAAGACACACTGTACTGTTTTAATTAACAAGACTGTCCTAAAATTTTTGAATTCAGGATTGAGGTTTCCGTAAAAGTGCAATTAAAGATACTCACAAAAAAGGTTTCCAAAATTGCTTCAGAAAGTGGCAAGAACAATGGGATAAACGCATTTGAAGTGAGGGGTGTATTGAGGGGAATGAACGGCAGTGTGTCTTTTACTGCGTTACACATTTTTAACCTGAATATTCACTGCAGTTTTTGATCATACTATTTCAAAATATTTGTAGGGTCTTTTTCTTTTATGCCTACTTTATATCTGCTATTGTCTCATCAAAAGGCTGATGATACAGTGGATCAATCACTTTGGACTGGAATATCTCAGAGTCCTAAAAGCCCACAGATTAGATACAGATATGATACTATTTCGAGAAAAAGATGGATGGATATTGTTAAAGTCATACTGCCTACCAATTTTTGTTCCTGGAGGACAAAACATATCCATGATCAGATCCATACTTCTCTGAAGGTCATCATCAAGTAGGACTTCTGATGCTGGAATCTGGAAGAATTTGTCCTTCAAAAAATTATGACAGAAAAGAAAGCGTTACTAATTTTTTGAAACTGTAATTAATGTAAAAGTGCTTTTAAGATCATCTAATTACTAAAAAAATCTAGACGATTTCACTATGAAGACTGTAGAATTCATGAACTAGAGTACTTGTCTGAACTCAACTGATTGGCAACACAGCCCCACAACTTCATACAATATCTATTTGTGTAACAAAAAATAACTTTGTTTCCTCTAATATGAAATGGGGATATTTAGAAATTATGGTAAACTGATTATAAATAATGTTTACATAGTGCGGACATCTCTCTGCTCTTTGGCCCAGAGTAGAATTTGCACATGATAGAATGACTCAGCCATCCCTTTGTATTTCTAAATTCTTAATTGTTCAATTATGATTCATAACATGAAATGAAAACAGATACACACAATTTTAGATTTATATGCGTGTATTTTAGTTATAGTTCTAAGCTGCCTTATCTTCTTTTAGGAATAAGGTAGGCATAAGTAAATTTATTAATTTTTTAATGCATTAGTTTATAATTAGAAATAACTTTTACTAGCACTGTTACTTACAGAATCCATGAGATAAGCTTCTAATACTCCTGTTCCATCATCAAGAGTGAACGTCATAACAAACACATGCTGCAGGGGTACAATTCCCAATACTAATGAGGAAAAAAAGACCATACCACATGAGTCTTTATCAAGACAAAATCAACTGTATGTGCATACAAATTTCATTTACTAAAATAATTTAAGCAATAAAGAAAATCTTACACATATGACATTTTCTCTTTAATGTCAATCTGTTACACTCAGTTCATTTTGGAATACTCCACAACCTTTATATTAGAATAATGTCTCAGGATATTATAATTGAATCTTTTTGATTATTTTATCTTTAGCATGAGTTGATATCTTGAAAGAAACCACAAAAAGTGATTTATAAAATATAATTTTTATATACCAATCATATAAAAATAAAATTCAGATATTAGAATGCTCTAAAAAATAGCATACAGTTAAGTATTTATTAACCTATCTTTCCCTTCCTATTACAAATGTCAGTGATGCCCTATTATTTTTCAGGGATATCATCTGGTTAACTGGACAAAAATGTCAGAATGTAAGATTTCATAAGTTTGTAAGATTAAGAAAAAAGAAGAGATTGGCGATACTAAATACATACAGCAAGAAGACTCTGGAAGCAGATGATAATGTATTTGCAGAACGCTTTATTAGCTTCCATCTACAGTATCTATATATATATATATATGCAGTGGGACTAAGGATGCAAATGAGAAATTAGGGCACAATGACACGAACTTAAGCATACTATATGATATTAGTAGAGAGGAATTGATTTTCAGGCTTCAAAAGCTTTCAACAAGTTAAAACTGTGCACTAAAACCCACAAGGATGAGAGCTGAGCGGACACACAAACAAGCCAAGAAAACTGCATGAAGAGTATGATGGGGAGCAAGCTTGGTATCAAGAAGTTTATGTGAAAGTTAACAGGCAACTTCACAGGACCACAAACAAAATATGAGATAGTAGTGTGGTAGAGCTGGATTAAGACAAGAAAGAAAACAATTAAGTACACAAATCAATACCCAGACAATAAAATTTCAGGCTAGTAGACTCTAAATGGCTGGTGTCAGAAAAATAATTTTCCCCATATTCTGAATTTGTCAACATATCTGCAACCCTATGTTCAGCTTTGTATATCAAATTTTAAAAAGAACATTAGCAACCTGGAATGTTCATTGCAGAGGAGAAACAACCTAGTAAGGAATAAGGAGAGTCCAAAGGAAGTGAGGCTACCTGCATGAAGCAATAAAGAGTCCATGGAGGCTGGACAGATATCTTCAAATGAACAAAGTCTGATCATCACATCGAACAGAAAATACATTGGCTGAGTAATTAGCATACAGAATTCAGCCTATACTGAAGTTACGCGTATACAGATTTTGCTTCAGTATTAAGAAGACTAAAACTTAAGGGTACATGCTACCTTTCAGTGCAAGAAGTACTCCATCATGGAAAGCATTTCTATCAAGGGCTGTGTGACCAATTAAAAATGCAATATAGGACCAGGGATTTAACTCAGTGTGCTGCTGCGTGCCTCATAAGCATAAGGTCCCAAGTTCAAGCCTTGGTACCACTACCAAAACCAAAAACAACAAAAAAAGCAATATAAAAAGATTCTTGTGGTTCCAGGTAGATGGATGTTGGGAGAAAACTTGTAGCAGCTCTAAAACACTTTTCAATCTCAAGATATCCTGAGCTACAGAGATCTTTCAGAAACCGTATTTATTTATGATCAATGGTTAAAAGGAAAACAAATTACTGAATGCAAAAATATGCATTATGATTAAAGATACTGTCAGATAAAAAGGACATTTTGCAAATATTTTAAGCAATCTGTTCTCATTACAACCTGTGTAGTTTTTACTTAAGAACAGTTATAACCCAGTCTTATATATCCACAAATCCTGAAATATAAATCACTCACATGACCTTCTGTACAGAGTTAAAATCAATGGAAATTTAGTTCACCTTCTGCCACAGAAGAAGGAATCCATGATGTCTGACCAGCAAGGGAATTTAAATTTTGTATTGATTTCAAACTAGAACACTGTTTACACCTGAAATTAATAAAAGAAATAATTATATTTAAAATAATTTAATTCATTTAATCACTATATTTTTGCTGTTTAAGAAAGTCATAAAAAATAAATTATTAAATGGAAGATACTGTACCTGCTGTACTTGTTTCAAAAGAGAATAATCAAAAAGTAAGCTTTTTACATAAAATCAACAGAAAAGAGACAAAGGGACCCAGAATGAACAACTTTAAACTGAAAATGAGGGACTGAATAAGGTCCAAGACAGCAATTAATTAGGATCTAATGAATTTATTAATTCATTAAAAGAAAAAAGTTGATTTCTAAGAACTTTTTCCTATTTATAGCTTATGAATAATAGCTAATGACAGTCCAGACAAATATAAACATCAGGAAAAAATTATCCTAACTAAAGCAGTGAGGAATAGCAAATTTTGGGTAATTAATACCTTAAATAAGCACATATTAAGAAGTTTATAGTTTATGATACCTAACACTATAGTTATCATTTGAAAACTAAATACATCTAAAACTATATAATTATTAATGTTGTACATTACAAAGTATACATAATTTTGCTTTAGTTATATGTCAACATATTTCAAATATGACTAGCTTAGTTTTTATTAAGCATACATGACCATGTTTACAACATGTGATAGGTGCAAAGAATGTACCTGGAAAAGTGTTCTTGAATAAAATTATAATAATTCAAATTCAAAAGACTCCATTTATACAATGGGGAAAAAGAGGGGTTTATTATATTAGATTTAGGTTTTACACCTGATTATCAAATATAAAAATGTTTCTTTTCTAAAAAAAAAGATGAACAAAAGAATACTATTAACTAAAGAAGGACTGTGATACAAACTAGAATGAAATACTGCTAAAATAAGTGTGTCGATTCAAAATTAACGGTAACATGTGTAGATACTGAATAATTTCTCTGGTGTGAAAAACTAAAATAGTACTCAAGATCCTAAAGGGTTAATTAGCAATGTGAAACAGGAAGAAAAGGACTAAAGATGTAGGGACAGTAAGAAAGGAAGAGGAAGGGGAATAAGGAAAAGGGAAAAAATATGCAAAAATTTAAAAATGGAATCAAAGTCTTTGTAGGTGGGAAGGGGAAGAGGGGGTGAAGGGAGGGTGGGGACAAGGGGAAAAATGAGAACCAAGACCTGTCATGTAAAGGTACAAGATCCCAGTAATGAATGTAACTATACTGTCTACCTAGAATGTACCAAAAAATTCAATAAAAAAAAAATTAAGGGTAACAAGCCTAAATCAAAGAATTCATTACTTCAAATCAGAGAATACATTACTTTCAGTAAAAATTGAAAAAGAAGAAAATTAGAAACATTAAATAAATCCAACACAAGGATGAAAAGAAAAATACAATTTGTTTTATTTTTTTGGTACTGGGCATTGAACTTGGGACCTTGTGCTTGCAAGGCAGATGGCAGAACTACTGAGTTAAATCCCCAGGCCCAAAAAATACAATTTTAAAAGGTTTTTTAAGTAAAAAATGTGGTTAGCAGAAATCAACAAAAATGTGGAAATGCATACTAAATAAATATGTTAATAATTTAAACTGTCTTTAAATTTAACTGTTAAAAATAACCAAAATGCAGCATCTTTCATTTATAATTAAAATAAGAACAAAAACTTGAAAGAAATGAGAATAAGATAACATACAATTACCATCTTATAAATAATTAAAAGCTTTAAAACAAGAAAAATATTAGCAAAAATAATTCTCAAGACAGGAAGTTGTGCTTAGGAATGCTGTCTTTAAGTGAGGATGTACAGAACAATGAAATCACAGAAAGATAAGCAATACTAAACCTAAATGAGCCAACAGAGTCTCAAAATATATAAAGCAAATGAGGACAGAATAAAATAATTATAAGCATAAAATCATAGTTTATTTTTACATATACATACTTGTTTAAGAAAATGACTAAAGAAAAAAATCACAAAATAAATAGTTTTGATTATGACTAACAAAACTGGCCTAATAGACAACCTATAAATAAATCCTAACTCAACTATTTAAAAAGGCATATTCTTTTTACACAGACATGCAAGACATAAAATATAGATTCTAGGATAAAGGAAAGATGAATAAATTCCAAAGAATCATTTTGAAATGCTGCAAAGTATTCAGCTAAAATGCAATCTAACTAAAACATAAATGAAACATAGTACACAAAATACACCGTGAGAGCCAGGGATTTATTTAGCTCAGTGGTTCCGTTGCCTGCCTCACAAGTGCCAGGTCCCAAGTTTGATCCCTCGTACAAACAAACAAAACAAAACAAACAAAACAACAACACCAACAAAAAAACACATGTGAAAAATTTCTGAATATACATTTAAATGACTAGTAGGTCAAAAAGGACTTACAAATCATTTAGAACTGAATGGTAAGAAAAATATTATATATCAAAATTTGGAATAAGGCAATGGCAATACTGCCAGGAGGAATATTTTACACTTTCAATATTAAAAATATATAAAAATTTATTAGGTGAATGAGGTAAATGTTCAATTTAATAAATCTGAGAAAAACTAAGAGGACATAAAGAACATAAAGACAAAGATAACAGTAAAATTAATAGAGAACATCACCATGAACAAAATCTTGTTGCTTTGGCAAAGAAAGAATAAGGGTGGGAGGAAACAATGTCACTAATAAATAATATTCAAAGAAATAATATTTAAAGAACATTACAAGAAAGAGTGTTACATTCAAGAAAAGAGCTGAATTTTAAAACCATCAAAATACTGTGGTCAGGGCAAGGGACTTAGCTCAGTGGTTCCACTGCCTGCCTTGCAAGTGCCTGGACCCAAGTTCAATCCCCAGTACCAAAAAAAAAAAACAAAAACCCAAAAAAACAAAAACAAAAAACAAAAAAACAAAAAAACACACAAAATACTATGGCCAATTACATGTCACTAACAAATTTTTTTAAATGCATAAAATGAACACTTTTTAAGAAAAGTCTCACTAATAAGATATGTGAACAAACTGAACCATTAGCCTACATTCTATTTAAAAAATATCAAAAATTTTTTGAAGACAGGGTAGTTCTGGTTGGCCTTGAACTCACTATGTAGTATAGGTTGGCCATGAACTTGAAGCAATCCTCCTGCCTCAGCTTCCTCAGTGCTGGGATTACAGGTGTGTCCCCTCCTGCCTGGTACATTAGTTTTTCTGGTTTGAGAAACTGAAAGTGCAAATAAGGATCAAAATGTATAATAAATAATGTGAAGTAGGGAGAAAAGGTGCAAGGGTTAAAGAGAAGTGGATGGGTAGGGAAAAAGAAAGGGGGGAATGGAATTAATATGACAAAAAAATGTAAACAAAGTCTTTGTAAATAGGGAGGGGTGGAGGGGTTGAAGGCAGGTGAGGGGAATAGGGAAAACATAAGAATCAAGGTATATTATGTAAAGGTACAGATCTCCAATGATGAATGTCACTATATAGAATATCTAAAATGTACCAATAATTTTTTTTAATTAAGGAAAACATTTATAGTTTTAAAAAGCACTGTAGTAAATATGACTATACTTACAGTTAAAAATCTATAAAACAAAAGAAATCATAAAATTGGAAATGTACATACCAGAAGTATGAATATAACTGATAAAAGATTAGTATCTCTAAGTAGCAAAAATTCTTATACTTCCTAATGTGCACATTTTAACCAAAAAGATTATTACCACACAGAAGACAAGCAAACAACATAAACATGGAATTAATAGAACAGAATACGAATAGAATTAATAAGCATAAATGTTACTTAAATCCACAAATCACCTAGGAACTAACAAAATCTTCATGGACACCACATGACACTCATTAGCCTGAAAAAATTACAACTTAGACAATTCTCCCAGGTGTTGAGGAGAATGTGAAAGAAAGTGAAATTTTATACATTATTAAGGGAATCATGAATTATTAAAACCATGAGAACAACTATTTGTTTTTTTCTCTCAAAAAGCAAAGATATGTATACAGTAATACTACTACTGTATGATCCAATATTTCCAATTCTAGATAAATACCTTAGTAGTAACTTTCAAACACTTGGGCAAAGACAATAAAAATTAATTTAAACTATGTCACAGTACATACAGGTACATATACAACTGAACAAACTTTTAAGGAGCAACATTGAACCTTCTTAAAATGTTCTCTATTACCCATTTTGTCTTGTTCCATTGCTTAATATAACCACATTGTAACACTGAAAAAAAATAATCATAATCCACCAAACTGATTTTATGATAAAGGAAACATACAAGTAAACATATGAGCTTCATAATCTCTAAATGAAACTGAAATAACATGTATCCATTCATAGGAAAATGGATTAAAATTACAATAAACATAAAATATTCTTTAAGTATCAAAATAATATAAATCTAGATGTATCAATATAGATAAATGTTGAAAATAACATTCAATGAAAAGGGCAAGCTGCTAAAGAAGAATCATAATATGACTTTTTACTAATTTAGAAAACAAAAAGCAACAATACCCCCCCATACATAAAGACCTGATTCAAAAATGGGCATCTGAAATGAACAGAAAAAGAAGTAAAAGCAGCAAGTAAATATATGAAAAAATGTTCCACATCACTGGTCATTCGAGAGATGCAGATGAAAACAACACTGAGATTCCACCTCACCCCACAAAGAATGGCTGCTATCAAGAAATCAACCAATAACAAATGCTGGCAAGGGTGTGGGGAGAAAGGAACCCTGCTCCGTTGTTGGTGGGAGTGCAGACTGGTGCAACCACTATGGAATTCAATATGGAGATACCTCAAAGAGCTGGGACTAGAGGTTCCATTTGACCCAGTCATCCCTCTGCTGGGTATCTTTCCAACAGAATTAAAGGAATCATATCACAGTGAGATATGCGCACCTATCTTTTTAGCAGCACAGTTTGTAATAGCTAAAACTTGGAAACAGCCCATTTGTCCATCAGTTGGAAACTGGATAAAGAACATGCGGGTTTTCTATAAAATGGAATATTACTCAGCCATAAAGAATGAGAAATTAGATTCATTCATAGGAAAATGGATACATATTGAGGATATATTAGGTGAAATAAAAAGCTCAATATCCACAAGTTAAAGGAGGACAGGTTTATTTCATCTCACAGTTCATAGAGGTTTCTGTCCACAGTTGGCTGGTTTCAAGGCAGGGTGGCAGGGCAGGTCAGAGGAGGCTTGCTTATGGCATGGTGGCAGAAAGCAGAGCGTGACCAAGGTGAGGGGAGGAAATACACCCTGCCAGGCCATGCCCGCATTGACCACCTCTTCCAACTAGGCTTTCCCTTCCAGCATCACATTTAGCTATAAACTCATCAGTGAACTAATCCACAGATGAGTAACGTGACCCGCTGATCCAGTCACCTCCCGAAACGCCCACCTATAAGCATATGAAGCTCTGGGGGACATCAGGATATAAACTATAACAGCTGGATACATCTTGTCATACTATCAAACCCTCTCCTTTCCCTACTCCTAAATTTGTAGCAATTGTCAGTCCTAATTATAATGTATAAATCTTGATTTCCTCTTAAACATTACAATTACCATGTCTCCCAGATTGTGACCTCTAAGAGTCATGTGGTGGATATTGCTCTGGGTTCTGTCCCATATACAGCACATCAAAAAGCTTCAACCATAAAAAGTGGGATTTTTTTAAGAGGAATCCCTAAGTTTATCACTGTTTTTACTCAAGTGTCCCCAGTACCCTTACACTAGTCTTTGGACTCATGACCTCCAAGTCATCTTCTTTGAGATTTATCCAGTAGTTAATTAAAAAATAAAAACCTATCACTTCTGTTTGTTTTTTTTTGAAAAATTCAGTAGCAAACTTTAAAAAAAAAATCATCCTCATTCTCTCACTCTCTCACTCTTTCTCCTTTCCCTGTTTTTCAACCTTGCCTTCTTGGCATTATGTACCTTGCTCAGTCTAAAGCAGGAAAGAAATATTAGTTATAAACTTCAAAATGTAACTTACTCATTTTCTACAAGCTGTTAAGTAAAAGCTCTTTTAAGGCTGTCAATCTTTTTACCAGTTTCAGCATGAACTAATACATAAATCTTGTTTATACTTCACATTTTAAGACATGTTTAGATCAGCTGTTAATTTCACAAAATAAGTCACACATGTGTAAATACCAAATAGTTTCTCTGGTGTGAAAAACTATAATAGTACATAAGATCCTAATGAGCAACTAAGACTACATTCTATTGTGTAAGGTTTTTCCAAGCAGACCCTTTCTAGAGTGATTATTGCATTAAATAGTAGAAGAAATGTTTTTTACCCCTATTTGCTGCTCTCACACCTTAAAATCTCCATAGAGTGTAATGTATTCATCTTCCAATTTTCAGTGGCAGCAAACTTATACTTTAGTGAGTTAGCAATTCTAGAACTTAGTCACTTAATTCTTACTAGGTTTGCAGTTTTGAATTTAGTATTCAAATTCTTGTCACGCCAGAAAACAAGCATCAGTCTCTGGTTGAGGAACAAAATGCTGGTAGCCTTATACCTCCCACACAGTGTAAATATATAATATATGTGCTTATCAAAATAATACATACCAGAGGAAAAAAATTTTTTTTTTTTTTGCGGTATCTGGGATCAAACTCAGGACCTTGTGCTCACAAGGAAGGTGGCGACACCTCTGAGTTAAATCCCTGGCCCAATATACCAGAGAAATGTAGTCTAGATTAGGTTACATCCTGACAAACTCTTGGTAAATTTAAAATATCTTAAATAAAAATGCATTTGATACACATAGCCCACAGAACACAGTACAGCTTAGTAACACAGTACACTTCAGAATATCACTTGCTTTTCCTTATGATCTTTTTTTTTTCCTCACTGAGTTTATTGGTTCGTTTTAGGTATACAGTAGAGTTGGTTTCATCATTAGGATCTTGTACCTTTGCATAACACGTCTTAGTTCTCATTTTTTCCCCATACACTTGCTCTCCAGTGTTTATAGCAGCAGTATGTAATAGCTAAAACTTGGAAACAGCCCATTTGCCCATCAGTTGGAGACTGGATAAAGAAGATGTGGTTTTTCTATAAAATAGAATACCCTTATGATCTTGTGGTGACTTGAGAATTCTGGCTCCCTCCTCATGAGAAGAGTACTGTACCTCATATCTCTAGGCCAGGAAAAGATCAAAAGTCAAAACATTGTTTCTATAAAATGCATATCATTTTTGTACCACTGTGCAACTGAAAAATCATAAATCCTATCATTATATGTGAGGAACTGTCTGTACATGTAAATTTGTACTCAATAAATATCTGTTGCCGGGCGTGGTGGTGCACGTCTGTAATCCCAGCACTCGGGGGGCTGAGGCAGAAGGATTCCTGTGAGTTCGAGACCAGCCTGGGCTACATGGTGAGTTCCAGGTCAGTGTTAGCTACATATAGTGAGACCCTGTCTCAAAAATAAATAAATAAATAAATAAATAAATAAATAAATAAATAAATATATGTGTACACGTATCTGTTACTATTTTATCCAACATAGTAACCAGTCAGGTATAATGTTAAATATACAGTTTTTAATTCAAAAAAATCCCCAAAGTGAAAACATACCCATAGTGATGCAATCTTCCTTGTATAAGGAATGGTACTGAAAGGTCTAGGAGCTCCAGGTCTTCAGGGCCAGATTTCACAGGAATTATACTATGAAACTCACTTGAAAGTTTAGAGATTTCACCAAGAGTACCTCCTGTTAAAAAAGAATAAACAAATTCACATAGTAAAATATGAGGTAGGTAAAACAGAGTACCTGAGATACAGAAAATACTAAAGAGACTGACAGATAAAAATAAGAAAGAGTCACAAACTTAGAGATTCAATACATTTATTTTGAAAAATATTAATTTGTAAATTTAGGATACAACACATTAAAGAAATCACTCACAAAAATGCTGAGACTTGAATAATATATAAAACTTGTGCAATCTTAACTGTCTTCTTAAATTTACACAAATTACTGCCAGGAACACTTTGGTTCGAGCAACCAAAAGAGAATAAAATTGAAAGGTAAAGTATGGTACGATTCTCACTATTAAATTTGATATACTACTAATGCCTAAATAAATTCAATTTTGAGTTTCAAAAAATCTTTTAAAGTTTTAGGTCAGTTCATGTTAATGTATACTCTGTAGTATTTGTTGTTCTTGGGAAAATCACGAAAATTTCCCTAAATCTATGCTAGAGGAAACATTAAAGTGACCAAGTCTGCTAATAAATTGTATGTCCAATGGTGCACTGTTATTAGGTTTGCATATATCCAAAATTACATATATCTATCACTATACTGTGATAGAAAAAGGTGTTTTTTTGTCCTAAAAATCCTGTGTTCCACCTGTTCACTTCTCCCTATCATTCAAAATCTGCAACCACTTATCTATTTCCTCCATACTTTTGCCTTTTCCAAAATGTCATACAGTAGGTATCATTCACTAGTAGCCTTTTTAAACTGGCTATTTTCACTTCAGTAGTATGCATTTAAATTTTCATTATGGCTTTTCTTGGCTTTGGAACTTACTTTTTAGTGCTGAATAATATTCAACTGTCTGGATTAAACTATGGTTTATTTATCCAATCATATAAAAAAGGACACCTTGGAAGTTTCCATGCTTTGGCAATTATGAGTGAAACTGCTGCAAACATTTGTGTGCAGATGAGGAGATTATTTTCAACTTCTTTGTGTAAATATCAAGGAATGTGGTTGCTCGATCATATGGAGAGTATGTCTAACTTTAGAAAGACTGCTAAAATGTCTTCCAAAGTGGCTGTACCATTTTGAATTTCTATTAGCAAAGACTGAGGGTTTTTGTTGTTAAATATTTTGACCAACATTTGGTGTTGTTAGGGTTTTGAATATCAGTATTCTACAAGGCATGTAATAGTGTCTCCTTGTCATTTTAATTTGCAATTCTCCAATGAAATAATTAACATTTTTTCTAATGTGTCAATATCATTTGTATGTTGCTTCAGGTCTTTAGGCTATTTTTGTAAAACTGGGTTGTATGTTTTCTAATTGTCGAAATTTAAGAGTGCTTTGTATATTTTGCATAAAAGTCATTTTGCTACATCTTTTGCAAATGTTTTTTCTCAAACTGTGCTTATCTTCACATTCTCTGGACAGTTGTATTTCTCAGAGCAGAAGTTTCTGATTTTAATAAAACCCACCTTATCAATTATTTCTTTCATGGATTATGCCTTCAGGCTGAATCTATAAAGCACTGCAGTAGGAAGAGCATATAGATTTTCGTGGATATTATAGTCTAGGAGTTTTACATAAATTCTCATTTAATTTTCATTTAAAGTTCTGTAAGGTAAATTTGTTAATCTAGATGTACTTATTTATAAAATAAATATTTACTGAGAGCTAATTATATGGCAAGCATACTATGCTAGGTATTAAGGATATGCAGATTAAAATAAACATGTACCCTGCTCTTATGGAGTTATAATCTAACAGGTAAACAAAACTATAAAAAGACAAGTATAAAACAAATATATTACAAAAGAAATGTGATTTGTTGATAGTATATAGTATATTAAGAACACACAGTAGTAAGAACCATTTATCCCTAGCCTGCAAGGCAAGAAAAGTAATTGGTAAATATACATACTTACTGAATATTTGACATGAATTACTAAATAAAAAGAATTGCTGAGTTTGCTTCTGAAGCAATACTACAGTACTAGCAGCATTGCTATTCTAAGGAAGAGAACAGCAATGAAATGAAAAAGAGCCAAAGAAAAACCTACTGGGCTTAGCTTTAGGAAAGTGACACCAAAATGTTATGTCTGGAGGGCATGACAGGAATAGACAACGGGAGGAGGTAAGACTGGAAGATTGTGGAATGAGTATTATTTAAAGACAGAATTGGTGCTAAGGAGATTCCCTTAGTCAATGCCCTGTGGACCCTGAAGGACAGCTTGGCTTCAACCCAGAATTCTGGTAAAGGAAGCAAAACAGAATAGGGTCCTAAGACCTACTTGACACACTCTTAATTGGTCTCATGACAAGAGCTCTTGTAAACTCTCAAAGAATCACAGGCTATTTCACATTTTAGGAGTGCATATAGTCTTACTCTTTTTTGGGGGGAAGTCTATGTTTTTATTTTTCCTTTTATTATTTATCTCCAAGTACAGATTAAAATACTACTAAGAAAGTAAGATACTACCTTTCATCTACCAAAGTGGCCAAGTGTCATGGTTAATTTTATGTCAACTTGACTGGGCCATCGGGTATCCACATACTATCTGATAAAACATTATTCTGAGCCTTTCTGTAAGGTGTTTTACAATGAGATCGTATTTCAATGGGAAGCATGAGCAAAGTAGACCGCCCTCCCTGAAGTGAGTGGATCATCAGTGGAAGATCTGAACCACAAAAGCCAACCCTTTGTGTGATAGAGAATCCCTCCTGTCTGACTGGTTTGGATCTGGACATCAGCCCTATTTAGGTCTCTAGCTAGCTAGCGTTTTGAATAATTGTACCATGGCTTGTCCAGGTCTCCAGTGTACTGACTCAGCCTATACATCTTGGAAATATATATATATTGATAACCCACTAAGTTTTAAAACCTTGATAACCCACTAAGTTTTAAAAAGTTCTATTATATGTTGGTAAGGATCGAGGAATAAGAAATCTAGTATGTTGCTAAAAGCGTGTGTACACTAGGATGACTTTATTAGAATTTAAGAGAGCAAACATTTTTTGTGATGACTAAATGAACAGACAGATACTCTATATGGAGTAGTTTCTGCCACAATGTCATTATATTTAAAGAAAAGGCTCATGAAAATATCAATGTTTATATACGTACGTATTCATGTATATATGATTATGTATTACTTCCATGACTAAAAAATGTCAGCAATAAAAATAATACAAGGATAAGTTCATTCATAAAATGAAAGCAAGTATTTTTCAAATGCATATTAAATTTTCTTCTTATTATGAAAGTTATATAGGAGGAAATATCTGGATAAAAATAATGAAACTTTAAATTTGGCCTGAGGAAAAAAAATGTGTGGTATATATATTAATATATTACATGAAAATTAGACAAAAATGGAAATGATAAAAGAAAACATAATCAAATTTCCTTGTTTTAAAACTCATCAAGTGATTTTGTTTATAAATAGTCTTTTCCTTTATTTAGTTTTCAACATGACTTTCATCCTGTTTATATGAAACAACAGTGACATCCAGAGGCCAGGACAACAGCAGCTGTCCATAGGCCACCACCATCTCTATTTTTAATTCACTTAGAAGAGACAAGATTATATCCAGAAATTCACCAAGATGAATAAATGTGAATACCTGAGTTTTAATGTTGAAATTTAAAACGTAATTCAGATAAATATATACATATATATTTGAATGTTGTTCACATATTCTAGTTTATAAAATTTTAGTTATTGGGATTTTTACTTTATGTGTACTACTAGGTTCCCTATAAAATATATTGTACAACAATATTTGAAAAAGTGTGCAAAAACAGTATTTTAAAAAGATGGTAACTTAAATATCTTACCTTCTATCAAAATCAGACATTCATTTGAAAGTGGGAGAATACCATTATATTTTACAAAATGAATAACTACTTTTCGTCCTCCTTGATCTTCAGTGGTCCAGATTTGTGAATCATACAAGGGTGTATTTTGTAACTTGGTATCTGAGGTTTTAGTTGCACCATCTTGTAAAGCTGCATCCAAATTATCCTCATGTGGAACTTCTTGCCTAAAATCATTGACATGAAGTATCAGAAAACTATTTTTATGTACTCTAGAAAATTCCAATTTAACAAATTATCCAATTAAAATATAATTTCTATATTCTACTTTTTCTTAAACTAAGGACAGAATGCACTTTGCAGACTACATGATTTTTATTCAATAGATAAATGTTTGATATTTTGTAGCTCAGTAGATCTACATCATAATTACATTAACCACTGATAATTTCCATTCCTGGTTTTGACACTAAAGTCACTTGTAACTATTTCTAATACTGACTGCTTTCCTCTATAAAAAAAGTGAACCTTCTTAGTAGGAAAAAGCTCCCATTTCTTCACTCTAGTTAATCTCACTTTCTTAGGGCACTTACTGTAAGCCAGTATTAATTTCAGTTCCTTTTAATAATAATTTGGAAAAGTCACACAAAGTATCAGAGTACAAATGGCAAGGTTTAGGATCAAAAGGTCTATTATCTTTATTCTGGTTCTGAGACTCTCCTTGGGTAATCTCTTAACTTCTCTGAGGTGCTTTCCTTGTTTGTTTAACAGGAGATCATAAAGTGGTTTTGTTTTATAAACTGTATGATTTTATAGAATTTAATGCACCAAAATTTGATACTTCAAAAACTGTCTAAAATTTTTATGTCTTTAATCCCAACTACCTTTTCAAGTTGAAATAGGTAAAAATACAGGCCCCTCACATTTTATTTAGTGATTTGGTAAGCAAAAGTCTCCTCAAACAGTATTATACTTGAATTTTGGATGAACAGATGTATATTAATATTTACAAATATTCATGAATATTATGTAAATATACAAATACATGGAGGTATCTAGATACAGCTACACAGTATAGCACACTATATTGAAAAGTTGATTTATGGCATTCAGATGTACATATACATCAATTACCTAAATTTTCTAAAGTATCATTTTATAGTTAGAGGGAAGATAGGCGAGTTACATTAAAAAGATGAATTTGTCTTGATTTGTGTACATATTAGTAAGATTGTAAAACAGATCTATAAATGTACTTATGTATTTATACATGACGTGGTATTTGGAATAAAGACTTCAAGGCACTGAGAAATTCTCTATTACTAAGAAAAAATTAAGTTGTGCTTAAGTAGGAAGTATTTCCAACAAGTCTCCTGAATCATTTAATGAGAACACTCACCTACTTAGATTTCTCTTTTAAAAAGCAATTTTTTGACAAGGAAGTCTCCTCAAATAATTTAGTATTCCTACTTGTACTTATTAGAGCTGCTAGCCCACATTTTGGATCTGAAAAGCCCGTTTTTTATTTATTATTACTAAGAATGAATTGGAAGGATTTACTTAGAATTTAGTACCTTCCCTTTAAATTGCTACCATTCTTCCAAAATACTACACACGTCACAATTTATTCATTTTCAGGACTTAAAGCTTTATATGTGCAGGTATACACACAAATACTATAATGTCAAATGAAAACTTTTGTTTTAATTTGGAAAATACTTACAGTGAATGACATTTAGGACAATAAAGTTTAACAGACTGAAAAATTCTTTTGGGCTTATATGATCTTAGTTTTGCTCGGATTCGATATTGCTGAGGAGCTTTTTGTTTCAGAATGGCACATAATGGTGTCTTCTCCAAATACTGATGATCAGTAAGTACTGTAAAGAATTTTTATATTAAATCAGCATAAATAATGTCTACAAGGTTTAAGTATAATCATGACTCATTTCTGTTAACCAAATATATACTACAAAATCTAATTAAACTGTAGTAACTGTTAATTCCGCAAAAACAAAGGTTATATAAGCAAGGCTCATGAACACAAAGTGAGGCACACAGTGGGTGCCCAACAAATCTACTGAAAACATGAAGAATAATTTGGGCAAGAGAGAACTGTCCACTAAGTGTAAAATAAGTATTTTTATATGGGAAGAAATGACATTTCCTGGCTAAACTTGAGGAAAACAGCAAGGTTTATATCACCAAGTAAACAAATGGGTTACTTGAGAAATATTTTCAAATATTCACTAAAACGATTTTTCTGGAAAAATAGTTTTATTTTATCTGAAGGGATAATCACTGATTGCATTAAAATATTGTATATTCTAAGGCACTCATTTATGTGCACACTGTTCAACACACAAATAATGTCACCTAGTATACTTTATATTCCCAAAGTAAAGATAAGCCCCAGTGTACTGTTAAGTATACAGTGCTATCTTTTGTAAGACACATGACTTAAGAGTATGTATTCAATATAGAGACATATATCTGTATGGGTTGTACTTAGGCCAGTATAGGACAAGGCAGAGAAATGCTAACTAAATACAAACATATTTTTGCACTCATGGATATCTACTTTCATATCAAGTAAAATGAGATAAGTTGGTAAGTGTAAAGGACAAACTTTAATAAGCTCATTTCTGTACTGTCTTATCTCAAAAACAGTATGTGGTCTTACTTGTAGCTGACAATTGTTGACATCTTTCTATCTCATACAGTGATACTGATCCAGAGCCTAGAGAAAGGAGAAAAATATTACACTGTTTTAAAGTCCACTACAATTGAATATGTAACTGAAAACAATAAAATACTGCTGAAAGAAACCAGATAAAAATCTAAATAAATGCTGAGGTATGCTATCTTCATAACTCAGAAGGCTTAATATTGTTAAGATATTTTCCCAAAATTAATCTTGTCAGTACAATCACAATCAATATAGCACAGACAATATGTAATAAGAGAAACTGATAAGTATATTTTATCACTTAAAAAATACAGAATCTAGAATACTGAATAACATCTTGAAAAACAAGAACATCAGAGGATGTATATTACACAGCCTACTATAAAACTACAGAAATCAGAACAATACAGTACTGGTAAAAACACTAACTAATCAATCAACAGAATTAAATAAAGAGCCTAGAAATAATCCCACATTTATACAGTCTTTGGATTTCTGAACACAAGCACTAAGGTAATTTACAAGGAAAGCAAAATTCTTTTCAAGAAATGGCCCTGCAACTACTGGAAATCAGTATGGGGAAAATGCATATTCTACATTACACTGATCAGTAATAAATGGAAAAATACAGAAAAAAACCCATTATTTAAATCTACTTAATATTTGACAAAGATACCAAGATCATCTATACAACTATACAGCATATATATGGTGCTATAAAACTAGAAATTTCTATGTATAAGGAAAATATCTACCCCATGTATCACAAAGCATTAAAAGAGAACAAACTACTGAAAAATATAACAGTGTAGATCAATCTCAGAAACATAGTCAGTACAAAAGACTATATACAATTCCATCTATTTGGAGTTCTGAAACAAGAAAAGCTAAAGGGATTACAAGTTTATGTTTTGGTCAGTGTATGGAATGTTACATAATATAGTCACTTCATGGTCATTTCATTACATGTAATTTCACCATAGTTAATTACGGCCATACAATTTAATACGTTTACTAACATCTGTAACTTTTTAAAAAATACACCATTATAATATGAATTGATGACCGAAAAGCGAAATCCAGGAACAGATACATAAGAAGCAAAGCAAATAGCGCAAAACGTGAACTGAAGAATCTAGGTGATGGATATGTGTTCAGTGAGCAACTGCTTTAACTTTTCTACATGTTTCAAAATTTTTTATTACATTCCAAAAATATACTGTGAAGGAAATAAATGCAGAAGTGCATAAATACTAAGCTTATTAAAAGCAATACAGGGCCGGGGATTTAGCTCAGGGGTTCCACCACCTGCCTTGCAAGCACAAGTTTGATCCCTGGTTAAAAAAAAAAAAGCAATACAGTGACCCAATGAACAGTAGAATTTTACTTAAACAAAAAAGTAGAAATCACAGCAATGATTTGCTTTCTGACTTACAAAGAATTTAAAATTTTAAAATGTGTATTTTCCAACTAATTTAGCTTATATTCTATTACGTGTAGAATATATATATAAATGTTTTTATAATTTATTTTATGCAGTGTTATACATGCAACACATGCATGATTAGCTTTTCTTCAGTCATAAATAGTATAAGAACACTAGGCAAGAGAACATAAAGGGACATCTCAAGCTAAACTAACATAGTACAATTTAATGAATCTGACTTAGTAATAACTACTACACTACCATAAGGTAGAATCCATACATAAACCAGAAAAGTAGTAAAATAAGAAAATACATGTAAAATATATACAAGGTTTCTCATAAATAGAAAGAAAAAGGTACAAATTCTAACACAAAATAGAGAAAGGTTAGAAGCAGATAATTCAAAGCAGAAAGAATTTAAAAAGCTGCTTAATACATAAGATTTTCAAATTTCCAAGTAGTCTGGGAAATTTGGTATTATATTTACTTGTCAAAAAGTTACATACATTGTTAATTTCCAATATTACAAGGATGTGAGTAAAGAGGTCTTACATGGCTATTCAGGAATAAATTCCTATCACCTTTTGTAGAAATAATCTGAAAACATCTATTAAAAGAAAATATATGCCTATATTTTGCTACATCAACCTAATTTTTAGGATTTTTTTAAGGAAAAATAAAAGCACAGAAATACAGAGGTCCAATGATTATTAAAATATTACTTATAAAAGGAAACACACTGCTGACAACTTAAATGCCTACGAGTGGGAGAATGGCTGAATAATGGTATGCCCAGATTATAAAATATTAAGGAACTATTAAAATAAGGAGTTTGGGCCACATCAATCAACTCAGAAAGAGGTCCATAATATATTATTAAGGAAAACAACTATTATAGTATGATTCCATTTTGATAAAGAAGAAAAGCTGAATATATGAAGATTTTGAAGGAATCGCCTTACAGTTTACCTCTTTTCAAGGAGCAAGCCATAAGAGGGCCTTTGGCATAGAGAAAGCTACTCCACTTGCCAGAATTATGTATGACATGTTACTCTGTAATTTAAAGATTATGAAGTAGTCTTTTTTAAAAAAGAAAAGAAACTGTGAAAAATGTAATTACAAATTATGCTGTCTCCAAATGACTGTTAATTGGATTATGCTGATATCCTAATAGTAGTGCAAGTAATCATATTTTAGGCCAAAATGCCATTATCAAAATGCTAAGAAATGGGAAGAGTTTAAAAATAGACAGAGTGAGGAAATAATTTTAAAAATATAGATACAAAGTACACACATCTTAATTTGACTTGCTTTGTCATCAGCTAACAAGTAAGTAACTGTAGGCAAATTATATGACAGTCATCATTCAAAGCCTCCATTTCCCTACAGTTAAAGGGAGAAAATAATATATCTTATGGACATGCTATTAGGATTAAATAATAATGCAGACAGGTGTTTATTAAGTGCCTACAAAGAAATACATGTTAATTTTCTTGTTTATATTATATTATTATGTGAAAGAAAACAGATATCCACAAAATGGTTTTTTGGATTACAGGAAGGTATGAGTTAAATTGTAAAAAAAAAAAGAGCGAGAGAGATTAAATACATAATTTTCATTGAAAGATTCAGAATGTACAACTAGATATTAAGATAAGTGTAAAAAGGAAAAACTTTCACATTGAGAATTTTATAGTTTAGATTTGAATAGTTACCCACTTGGACAATAATGTAAATATACAAGCCACTATTTATTAATACACTATAATTAGTGGATTAATTCAATAACTTGAAACTATGTGTCTTTCTCAGCTATGTCTGAATAAAAAAATACCTGGAGTATTTAAAATGATACAGAATAAACATTCTTTCTCTAGACACTGACTAGTAAAATAGTTACCTAGGAAATTATAAAGATTTATGAATACATAAAAATTACATATAATCATAAATCAAGTAACACTACTACCCGAATCTGCCACACACCCCCCCACGGTACCAGGGATTGAACTCTGGATCTTGAGTTTGCAAGGCAGGTGTGGCACTACTTAGCTAAATCCCCAGCCCACTACTACTCTAATTTGAAAATGCAATTATAGGTTTACACTGTGTTTACCTCTGCATAAAATATAGATAAGGTGTTCTGGATATGAATTAAAATAGTGAGATCGAAGAAGATATTAAAGGGAATTTTGTTGAGAAAGACTTTTTATTTAGCAGAAACTAAATCACCAATGACAAAAATTGTGTTTACTTGAAAGGGTGAGATAGCTCTCCTCCTGGTCTGTTTGATAGAGGCCATCTGAATGCTGAGCAGCTGTCAAATCTGCAGCTTCTAATGCTCTAAAAGTAAAAGAATATAATTTGAAATCACTCAACACTAAGTCAGCACAATAAGTACCCACGAAATTCAGGAGTTCAATGAAATTGTTAATAAAATCCTCTGCATTACTTAGCATATAGTCTATAGCTTTTACCAGATTACATGAAGCTTCCAAAGTCCTCAAGTTAAAAATCTGAGGTCAAAAACATAAAAGTAGAAGCATGAAAATCAGCACAGAGAATCAACAACAGGGATTTAATCTTATTAAATAGCTTCTGCACTGCAAGAGAAACCACCAACAGAGCTAAGAGACAACCTACAATGTGAGAAAAAAATTTTACCAGCTGTTCCTCAGACAAAGGTCTACTATCTAGAATATATAAGGAATTTTTAAATATCAAACCTTCCAAATTTAAAGACCCAGTTCAAAAATGGGCCTGCGAATTGAACAGACACTTCTCAGACAAAGAAATAAAAGCAGCAAATAAATATATGACAAAATGTTCACTATCACTGGTCATTCCAAATATGCAGATGAAAACAACACTGAAATTCCACCTCACTCCAGAAAGATGGCTGCTTTCAAGAAATCAACCAGTAACAAATGCTTGTGGGGTTGTGGAGAAAAAGGAATCTTTCTCCATTGTTGGTGAGAATGCAGACTGGTGCAACCACTGTGGAAATCATTACGGAGATACCTCAAAAAACTAGGACTTCAGGTCCCATTTGACCCAGCTATTCCCCTGCTGAGTATCTTCTCAAAAGAATGAAAAAAATCATCCCACAGCATTATATGTGCACCTATGTTTATAGTGGCAAAGTCTGTTATAGCTAAAACTTGGAAACAGCCCCACTGCCGATCAACTGGAGACTCGAAAGAGATGTCTTTTTTTAAAGAAATAAAATGGAGTACTATTCAGCCACAAAGAACAAGAAACTAGAGTCATTTATAGCTAAATGGATGCACACGGAGGCTATGTTTTTTGTTTTTTGTTTGTTTGTTTGTTTGTTTTTTTTGAGGCCTTGTTCTTAAATGAAATAAATAGGACACACATGTAAATACCAAATAGTTTCTCTGGTGTGAGAAACTGAAAATGTAAATAAGGATCAAAATGCATAATAGATAATGTGAAATAGGAAGAAAAGTTCTAAAAGGGAAGAGGAAGTGGGAGCAGTAGGGGAAAGCAAAGATGGATTGCGAAGAAATATGAGAAAAGAAAAAATGGAAACAAAGTCTTCATAAATGGAGAGGGGTGGAATGGTTAAAGGGAGGTCAGGGAAATGGGGAAAAACTAAGAACCAAGCTATAAAGGTACAAATTTCCAATGATGAATGTGATCATATTGTATCCCTAAAATGTACTAATAAACTTAATGAATAAAAAAATATGAGTAGAACAGTGAGACAATAAAATATTGCAAACAAGAATTAGGTGGGATTTTTAATGAGTAAAATTCTGAGTCAGAACAATTTCACTGTAGATACAAGAAATGAAGTGCTGAAGTTGCTACGAATTGCAATGTCTGTGAAAATGAGAATTAGAAAAATGAAGCTTCTTTAGTTGTTTCATTTCGATTTGTGGAAGAGTGTGTATTTTATATATTGATATATACATATTTTTTAAACTCCTTTAGAATACTGGTGAATTCAAGTACGTCAAGAAAAACAAAATTAAATATATAGCAAGTTTTTTGTTGTTTTTGTTTTCTGAGTCAGGGTCTTGCTATGTAGTTCAGGCTGGTCTTGAACTCACTATGTAGCCCAGGCTGGCCTGGAATTCACCGCAATTCCCTGCCTCAGCCTCCTGAGTGTTGAGTTTATAGACATGTACAACCACACCTGACTCAAGATTTAAGATATTTAACTTTCCAAATGCATCTGAACATTTAAAACATGTCTTATAAAAGTTTAGTAAAATGTTCATGAAAAGTTTAATGACACATTGAAATACTTCTATTATCTATTTAATCATAGGTATTTAAAAAATAATATACCTTTTTATGGTAGGATTAAGCATTTCTGGAATTCAAGGTCGAAATCAAGTTTTTCAAACTTTGGCTAAAATCAAATTACCACCGTGTGTTGCTATATTAAATGTGACAAATGACAGAAAAAGTATGAGTATAAAAATATTTTAACTGTTGAAAAACTTAGGGTACAACTCTGAATCTGCTGCTAATTAATGACCTCAACTTACAATATTTTTTTTGTTTCATTAGGCTTATCTATTAAAAAATAATGGAGAATGGCATAGAAAACTGTGAGGAACGAACAAGAAACTTATGCTTTATGAATACTTTATATGTATTTACTAAATAGGTATATAAAACACTTGCTTTTTCAGCTGATCCACATCAGAATTATTTTCAGGCAAGACTGTGATTCCCCGCCCGTAACTGGTACCTCCATGGAGATGAAACTCTAGACTTAATGGTGTCTGGCTTTCAGAAGTCACTGACTGTAGTTTGGTATGGAGGCTGTAGATTCTAAGAAAGTTTCCAATCTGAAAACAGATTATTCATTATTTACAAAAAAGGACAATGGACTAAATTTCTGATATTTGAAATTTTACAACCAACATGAGGCAATGGCCAATTAGGGACTCAACCAGGACAGACACTAGGTTGTGCCAGTTTGACTGAAAACCAGCTGCAAAGATGCTACATCAAAATCAAAACATATATGCATGTCATGTACACACACCTAAACACACATGCACGCACACACACACTGCAAAACACTGTCCCATTTCAGACATACTAAAATGTGCAAAAAACCTTGTCATAGCATCAATTAAATATAGTGGTGGAACCCATTACTTAGGTGCAATTCAAGATTTCTATTCCTTCACCATTTTGAAAAATACCTTCCTATAATTTAAAGTAGTGTTAATGAAATACGCTCACTAAAATACTCTACTCAAACAAAAAAGTTTACAAGTACAACTATAACAAAATTATAAACTTTATCTCACAAGATCATGGAAGGAAACCTTGTATTAAAGCATTTGTAGGGTGGCACCACACCTCTAATTCCAATACTGAAAGAGCCTGAGGGAAAAGGATCACAAATCCAAGCCCTATCTGGACAATCAGAAAGATATCACAAAATAAAATATTAAAAAATGGCTATAAAGGAGGCTAACCTCGAGTCATTTGTAGGAAAATGGATGCACTTCCAGACCTCAATGTGGAGTAAAATAAATCAGACACAGAAGCTTTTAGAGAAATCCAAAATAAAAGAACAAAATGAAGTAAATAGGGAGACAGATCTTTTACAAAAGGGAAAGAGACCGAGATATGGAGGAGGGGGCAGTCAGAAGAGGGGAATGGGATGAAACACAATTCAGATGGATTATGCACATGAACCAATTCCCAAAGTACAATGGAATCAACATGTACTGTAAATATATACTAATAGAAAAGTAGAAATTGAAACAAAACTGGGCTGGATATTTAGCTCAGTAATAGAAAGCGGTCCCTAGTACTATAAACAAAGACCACTGTACATTCAAACATAAAATTAAATCAGGGCTTTGAATTGGAAGTTTTTATTTTTCCAATACTAGGATTGAACCCAGTGGTGCTCTGCCAGTGAGCTACATTCCTTCCTATTTAAAAAAAAAAATTTATTTTATGTTTATTATGAGAAAGGGTGTTGCCAAATTCTCCAGACAGGAATGGAACTTGCAATCTCCTGTCTCAGCCTCCCTCAGTGCTGAGATTACAGGCGTGCGCCAGCACACCTGGTTTACAGTTAATATTCTGCAATTAATCTGGTATGTTTCACTAAATTCAGTAAAAACATCCCTAATTATAAAGAATTTGGTATTTCTTTCAATGAAGATTTCAAATAGAGACACAGAATGCTATTCAAATACACTCACATCTACCTAAAGAAAGAAGCAATATAACATTATATTTATTTTTATAAAGATTCATACACAAAAGCTCTTACAAATTGGGATGTTTAATTAATGTTCATAACAATAGTACTCCTAATTCTTTGATGACTGAGAAGCTATTTTTCTCTTTTTATCCTAGAATTTCACCATAACAGAGGCATATTACAGAAAAGCTATATAAGAGGGAATACTACAGCAACAAAAAGAGGTCAGTAGCAAATCAATCTTCCACTTCTGCTTATTATAAAAGAAACACACACACACAAATGAGAAACGACAACACTTATTTTTCACATGGTCTCCAAAGTGAGACTGGCAGAAAACATACAAATTTCTATTTTTTAATTAATCTTTTTGAAAGTTTATTATTTTTTTGGTTTATATACACACACATATGTATATATATACATATCCGTGTATTAAATACTAGTACAACAGAGTCTACAATCTACAAAGGATTTGAACCAAAGCCTAAGCACTCATAGACAAAGGGATTTGATGTAATAAATATCAAAATTTTAAATTCAGTACAGTTTCCATCAAATTTCTCAGTGTCTTTCATGGAATTTGAAAAACTAATCTAAAAATGTATATCAAAGAGAAGAGCCAAATCAAGTCTAAAGACAGAAGGAGTGAGCGCCTCACCCTACTGAAATGTCCATAAATGTCCATCCATAAACACAGGAGTATATCCCCACATGTTCACACAGGGCCTTGAGAAGTGCAAAAGTGAGACCAAGCAGTGATACAAAGAAGGTTCACTATGTAGAGTTTTATTTTAAAAGTATGTGAAACCAACATGGCAAAACATTTAGAATAAGTGATACATGTAGGTGTTTATTACACTATCTTCTCTACTGTTATACTTATTTTTAAAAGGTAAAGGCAAGGACAAAATTCATTTCCATTACTAGGCAATAAAGGGAATAAATTGTTATAATCAGAAATTCCTTCTGGAGGCAGTATTGCATTTTTTTTAAAAGCTTAAACATATTTTGAAATGTGCTTGATGTTCTATCATAAAAATAAATTGTTGCTGCTTTGTTTTGCCAGTAATGCAGTGAAATTCCAAAAATACAAGTGAAGGAATGATATTAAAATTATAAAAATATAATCTAAAAAACTTACTAAAAAATCAACTTCAAAACAGAAACATGCACACAAAAGCAATGCATGCACAGATGGCTACTAAAAAGGCATTATTCCCACAGAAACAAACAAAATATGTTTCTCTTTCAGTTTAGTATCTTGGTTACCTGTATACAACTCAAATTAGCCAAACTGCAGCTAATAGATCACTGAAGGCCAAAACATTAATTATAATTACGAACAAAGTGTGATCGAGAAATACACTTAGAAGACACTACCAAGAATAACAGGATAAATGTGTTCAAAGTAAAGGGAGTATTTTGTGGATTAATGGTCATATGTGTTGTGCTATAATACATTAAAACATTTAAATACTCACTGTATGTTTTGATCACACCATGTATGTTTTATAATTATTTTCAAAATTATCAGTATGAGAACAAGGACTTAAAAATATGATTTTAACTTCCACACAAAAAGTTTGAGATGTCATTTTGTGTCAGCACATGTGTGTAAAGTGTTTGGGAATGACATAAAAATCATACTTAAAAATTAAGATTTAGAAGAGAATTAAAGATTATTTAAACTTTAAAATGAATTGCTAAGGAGAAATTGATTATATTTTACTGTGTAATTACATTAACCCCTTTATTAAAAAACATTTTTCCTGGCTCCTATGCAACACACAATACTTGGTCTCAAGTATTCTGATATAAAAATGCAAATTTAAATATTTGTCTTGAAGCGTTGATAAAAATTCCTTTGTATGAATGTCATGTGACAGATTTCCTAACATCAATGATACAGAGGCTGTCAGAAAATTTGATGTCCATGTACATTAGCTAACAGTCTAAAGTTGTATCACAGAAAGTTACACACAGTTCCATGTAGGAAATCTTTTCAGTTTTATATTGCACTGCATATATATAATGCTAAGTCTTTAGAAGGAAACAATGTTCTGTAGATACTTTAATTGTGAATGCTCATGACACCCTCTAGTGGACAGACAAAAAAAAATCCTAGGATTTACAGGACTAATTGATTAACGCTTTCAGCAGCAGGTATCATTTCATACTTACATGGAAAGTGCTATGCCATGTTCTTTTCTTAACTTGGACAAGTAAGAGAGTACAAGTGGGGAAATAGAAACACCCATGAAAAAGCATAAAAAAGAAATTAAAAGGTCAAAGTAGATAATACAGAGTATGGAATGAGGTAATTCTAAGTTGTAAATCATTTTTTAAAAGAACTCCATGTAAAAAATAAACAAAATTAGATCAATCATTACTGTTTTCTTTTGAAGTAAACTAATAATTCAAATAGTACTTTTCAGAAGAAAAATACTTTCAGCATATCTTGAAAATTTTCTCCTGATATGTCATGTATACACATCTGTACATGCACACACATTTGTAAAAGACAAAAAAAGTGTAGTTATTATCTTCCTGGGTCCTAGCTTTAACCTAATTTATTGATTTGAATGGTGTGAGCTTATTTATCATAGACTGTAGGGTGAAAATATTTTTTCCTTCTGAGCATTTGTTTTACAAAGGAAACTTGGGCACCAAAATGGAGATCTGAACTATTTTAACTATCTACTATTTCTTTCAACTAAGTAAGCTGAAAGATATTTGCAATAAAGATTCTTTCCTTTTGATGCACAAAAAAAATTAGCTCTAGAAACAGGCATTGTGTATTCATCGCTGGCATCACCCAACAGTTGCAGAATCTTGGGATAATTCACTTAACCTCTGAGTGCTTCACTTTCTCATTTATAAAATGGGCTGATGACTGGGCGTCTTCATAGGATAATATCTAATACCATGTGTTTAGAGAATGTTATGATTATTTGTAATTGCATTAACTGCTAAAAAGTACACTTTCAAATAAAAGATACAATAAAAGGCAGAAAAAACTATTCCTTACAATCTCTGTTCCTAATTCATTGAGAACTGTCATATCTAACATTTACTTAAAAACTCTTATCAAATCCTCAAAAACAGTAAGCAAATTCCATAAACTATATGATACACACATTCCTCTAAATTATAATATGTATGAGAGCCAATTTAACAATTTCTCCAACAATACAAAGTTGCCATATATTCTATTAAAGCAATTAAAATTAAGTTAATAAGATTTTATATATTCTTTGTCATTGTAAAACAATGTCTCTCACATGACAAAATGTTTCTTTACTAGTTTCACAGTGTAACTGTGTATGGATATAAAATATTCAGAAAAGATACTTCAATTTTTGAAAAAAATTCCCTTTCATTATATCTTACAATGATCTAATTGGATAAACATTTTATAATTTAGTAATTCCAGAAAAAATAAAATTGAAATAAATTTCTGGACTCCAAGTATCATCTATAAATATAATCTCTTATCATCAAAACTTGTATGACCAGCAATCACAAAAGTAAGTAATATATAAAAACATAAAGCAGTAAACATTTGTTCTATTCAATATCACCTTTAGGGATTTTGCCACTTGTACATGATTATCATAGACCAAAATGTCTATTGTAAGATTGTGTAGCCGACGAATGTGACTTGAGTCTCCTTCAAGAACCTGATCTTCTATGGAAACTCTCCATGATGGAAATGGTGTTCTGGTCCCATCCCATACCTGCCACAAGGGAAGAGGAGAGTGTAAGGATATTCCTGAAAAAAATCACTGGTATGATAAAACTTCCTCATACTGGTATTAAAAATAACTAAATATATGCCTTTAAATATTTGTTAAACATTAAATATGAATTATGAGTAATGAAAAGATTTAGAAGAATGTAAAGAAAAGGTCATCCTCTTATGAACCCAGACAAAATAGTAACATGTTGTTGACTTCATTTTTCTCGTTTGCAGAGTACATGTATTTGAAACAAACTATATTCTGTATCTCTCTTTTTAGTTTAATAGTGAATACTTTATCAGGCAACAAATAGTACTCTAAGGTATGATTTTCAATATTTTAATATCATTTTATGATGTAGATACAAATTTATCAGTCTTTATTAGAAAGTTGGGTTGGTAAAAGCTTTTTACTATTTTATGTAGTTCAGGGGCTGGGGATATAATTTAGTGGTAGGGGAACTCGGTAACGTGTGAGGCCCCGGTTTCAATTTCCAGAATGGCAAAATAGTTAATTAACTCAGGAATTGCCATGCTGTATATAAACCCCTTTCAGTACTTCTGCTGTTTGTTCTTAGCCCGCTAGAAATGTATTCTGACTTTTGCAAATTTTTCACTTTATTCTGATTTAGAAAAGGTCTTTCTTTTAAAAATAACATACATTTATATTTTGTTTACATTTGATTTTAAGGACAGGAATGAATGAAAATAACAGGTGTTAAGGAAATGTATGCTGAACTGTCACACAGGCTACACTGAGATGCTGGGAACAAAGGCACAGAATAAACACTCCCTTCCTTATGGTACAGGCAGCCTGGGCTGTGCTTGGGTTGTAACAGATGACATGCTGGGCTATAAAGGGTGTGACAAGGACAATGGTGTGAGGTAGAAATGTCTTTGCATGTAGGAAAAAGCTTGAATCAACAGTCTATTTGAATGAAAAACACTAAATTTTTGTAGAAAAGGTCAGGTCAGTGACAGATCAGTGTCAAGTCACAAGGGAAGTACAATCTTGGCAGAGCAGGAAATCACAAAAAAACAACTATGTCACGATTAGTAATGTTACAAGCATTTTTCTCCATTTAGACTTCATTCTTTGAATACGATATTTTTTTACTTTAACATTTTGGACTTCACAGACCGATTTAAGAGACTTTGGGCATGGGATGAGAGGGTGAAGGGCTGCTATATTGCTTTTATGGTCTAGTTGTAATTGTCTAGAAATCCTCAACTAAACAAATATACACATACAGCTGACCCTTGAAAAACACAGGTCCCATTTGAAAAAACTTGCACTTCAATCACAGAGACTACAAATCCATATGTATCAACTACATATATCACTGAATATTATTGATCTAAACAGCTTTTCAGTTAACTATTTAAGTTTTGCATCTCAGAAATACTACACTTTTTCTTCAAAAGTGCTAAATCTCTTATTTCTTACTTCATTGAATTCATTGATATTCCTTGAACAATACCATAAATAGAGGAAACAGTAGAAACTTTTGCATAGTTTCTCTCATTAAAGATTACAGTTTGACCAATACATGTTTGGCTGAAGGTAGATGTTTACTCAGGTAAGGAGGCATATTTGTAATGTTTTGCTAAATGTTTTTGTAAGTATTTTTTAACATCCACTGAAATATTCATATGATTTTTAACATCCACAAACGTGCTCTAGAATTTGCTTGTCATTAAACCATTTCTCAATTCTGAAATTAAATTGTGCTAGATTATAGAATATTTTCCTTTTAATATTACTATTACTATTATTTGGCAGTATTTGATCAAGATTTTTGCTTTCTGTATTTATATGCAAAACCGAGATTGTATTATTCTGTAGTATTAGTCTGCTTTTGATATAATTCAGCTTTAAAAGTTCACCATTTAGACTCAATACCCTTTAATAGTTAATGTAATAATTTTGAAAATACACAAATACTCTATATTTTCGTATTTACAAGCATAAAAGCTGAACGTAATTTTTTCATGTCTTTATTTAGAAAACCTCTTTACCTTTTATAAAATTAGAATTGGTCAAACACTTTTTTCATTAAGTTTATTGGTATATTCAAAGCAAACAATACAGTTACAGTTATCATTGGGATCTTGTATCTTTGCATGATGTATCTTGGTTCTTGTTTATTTCCCATACCCTGTCCTCCCTTCACACCCTTCATCCTTCCCTATTTACAAAGACTTTGCTTCCATTTTTTCATTTCCCTTATTTCCTTTCCCCCCCTTCCCACTTCCCCGTTAGTAATTTCACACTCTCCATTATACCATTTGAAACTTATTTACACTTAATTTTTCACACGAGAGAAATTTTCAGTATTTACTCAAGTGTGTCCTACTTATTTCACTTAAGAGTATAGCCTCAAAGTGCATCTAGTTAGCTATAAATGTTTCTAGTTTCTCAATCTTTATGGTTAAGTAGTATTCCATTTTATAGAAAGAATTGGCCAAAGTTTAAAGTAAGCCTTTTGACTTTAATAATTTTTATCCTTTTCTATTTATAAGTCATTAATTATTTATAATAATTCCTACAAACTTTATAGTTATGTGACAGGTACTTTCATATATTGCTAATAATTGCTAGGAGGATAAGCTCTATAGAGAGTATTTTAGCAAGTGTTATCAAAATTTAAAATGCAGGTACATCCTGACTAAAATGTGAGGATGCTCAGATTCTTTGTAGTAAATGGGGTAGTATCTGCACTATAACCTATGTAAATCCTCCTAAGTATTATAAAATTCTCTCTGGACGACATAATAGTCAATATCATATAAATGTTACATCAATAGTTACTATTCCTACTGTTTAGAAAAATAATGAAAAAAGAAAAGTCTATAATACAATCTCATATTAAAATAGTTTTGTATATAAATATACCTACATAAATTACAGATGCTTCTAAAATCATAATACGATTTCTTTCTTTTAACATTGATAAAATTATTTATATAAGATTCAGTTTCATTCTTGTTTATCTAGCATTCCTCTCATGTTTTTATACAAAGGAGTAAATGTTAGAAATTTGAATCATTCCTTTATGTGATGTTTTTCTAACTCAGGTTATTTTCTGCTTTCCAAACCATATTACAGATCAAACATAGAAATGATCCACCAGCTCTGGCAATATACGACTTCTGGTTGTTTACAACAAAACAAAAACATAAAAGTAAAACACTAAAAAGATGTAGTATCAACACTGTAGATGTTAAGAAAGCAACATGCTTACAGAAAATCTGATTTTAAAATACTGTTCTGAAGATGTCTAAGCAGAATAGGAAAAAGGAGAATGTTGTATCTATTGCACTTTTAATGTGAATCACTGGTAAACATGAAAATGAGTATATTGTGATGATTAAAAAGAATATTATTGTCATTCTCTTTCCTTTGAAAAAGGAAGTAATTATACTACACTGCACGTAGCCCAAATATCACTTAAAGTCTGCTTCCTTCTACTTTGATAATAATAATTTTAAAAATTATTTCTGAAGATGCATAATAAAATCAACCTTATATAATCAGTTATAATTCTACTTTCTAGAGATAGCAACAGTAAAATATTGCTATATATTTTCAATATATTTTGTTATGCTTATTTTAATATATAAATGAAACTATATTACTCACTAAACAGACTATCATGAAAACAACTCCAATGTCATTTTAGTCAGAAACTATTCTACTCTTCATAATTACACAATAAATTCTCTACTGCTATTTGAATTTTCCTCCAATTTTAGTATTTTTAAAAGATACTCTTTAAAATGTATTTTTGTACATATTTAAAAATTATTTTTAAAGCATATTTATGAAAATAACATTGTGTGTCAAAAGGTATATTATGAAGAGTTTTGAGACTTATCTTTACTAATGTACTCAGCAATTTTTATTTAAGTTCACTTCTCAATGCTGGATTTTAAAATGAAAGTTACTGGAGTGCAGTTATCACTTATCTAAAAATTGCATTAAAATGTGAGACAGGCAAATCTTGCTTCTTTTGAGAGAAAAATGTAGATTCTATATATTAGCTAAAGAATACTAGATTTTTTTCTCAGCATTACAGAATATTCTAATGCCAGAGCAGTCAAAAGATGCCTCGTACACACAGAATCTTTGTCACCAGAAAGTTTGGAGTTTAGAAATGTGTATTTCTTCAGGATATCACTTTATCCAGACAGAATTCCTGGGTTATGTAGGATTCTTTCTAAAACTGGGTGAATTTCCACTGCTTCAGTTTCAGCTTTGTCATATTGGCTTACTTATTTAACTTTGCTTATAGTACGTGTTTACTTTATCATAGTAGTCTTGTGTATATAAAGGTTTCAACTTCAAAAACTTCATATTTTACTCAGTGATACATGTTCTTCATTCATTGTTTCTTGGTTTTTGGTACCGGGGATCAAACTCGGGTCCTTGTGCTTGTGAGGCAGGTAGTGGCACCAAGCTAAATCCCTGGCCCATTCATTGTTTCTTAAAATGAGACAATGCACATGTCATCACTAAACCAAAGGAGGTGTCCAAGCACCATGACACTCTTTTCTTCACCCCGTCATTACAAAAAGATAGCAGAGAAATAAACACAGGACAGCAGCTGAATCAGTGCTGTTCAAATGCATCCTCCCTGGATGGTAAAGCAAGGAAAATATCAACTATCTTTTAAACAAGTTATTTAAAAGCAAAGCTGGAAAACATGCAAATAAAGATTAGATGGATCTTATGTTAATTTTTTACCAGCTTCTTTAGAAACAAAAAATGAGTAATAATCATAGATATTTCAAACTTATCCAAGACATACCATTAAGCAAGCAGAGAAAGATATGGGGAAAAAAAACCCAACAATAATTGGGCAGAGTAAATGAGTGCTAAGTAAGTGACCTTGACAAGGAAGCAGAAAATTCATATACAAAATTGCAACTTAAAAATAACAGTAGAGGGTCTGGGATTTAGCTCAGTGGCACTGCACATGCCTCACAAACACAAGGTTCTGAGTTCGATCCCTGGTACCAAACCAAACCAAAGCAAACAACAACAAAAGCAAAAACAAAAAAGTAGAAAATAAGCCTGTACTTTATTCCTAATAATAAAACATACTATATTTAAAATGTAGATCTCATGATACTGTCTTTCTTTCTGAAAGGAAAGTTAAAAAGTGAAAAAGTAGAGCTGCATGAATATTGAATCTCATTAAAAATGGTAAGTTAAAATTTAAGTTTAGTATGATATATGCATGCAAACTTATACTGTAAGCTCTTTATAGACACACAGGTGGCACTAAATTAAAATTTCAAGTATTTAAAAATGTACCTTTAGTAGAAATGATGCTCCATCTACTTGTGCTTTGCCCAAGAGCTGACAAGTCAGGTCAAAATACTGCATTGGCTGGACATTACACAACTGTACTAAGGTTGAAGAAGGTGAAATGTGTGTAGAGGCCCAAATTCGTAAGGCTTCTACCATTTTATGGTCTGTAGCAGTGAAGTGAAAACACTTGCTTGAAGTACGAGGTATGACAGGAGCTCCCAAGGTTCCCTCAAAGGTCAAAGATGCAAACCCCGAGCTGGTGATACCTTGAGGCTCATTTTTATATACCTGGATCTAAGAAAGTTAGGTAAAGTAGAAAACAGATACAAACAATATAGCTCACTGACAAAAAACACAAGAACCAAGGAAACAAGAGATTTAAAATTTTCAGCATAACTAATAATGAATGTAAGTTTTCCTTTTTCAATTTATTAGCATTTATTATGGAATTATGAAGTCAACCGGTGCTATACTAAGGCATATAAGTATCATATAACTTTCAAAACACTTCATAAAATTTAAAGCTAGGTAGTGGTCAACCTACTCGAATCAAGCTGGTATTTTTTCTTTGTATTTGATTTTCTATGAAGGTACAATTTACACTAGGAAAAAAAAGAAACAATAGTCATTTATGTTTTAGTATAAACTAAAACACTTAAAATATGAATATGTGAAATAACAAATACAGCTTGAAACTAAGGTTTAATCATTGTGACTGAGAGAACTAAGATATGTCGGGAGGATGTTTTCCTTTCTATATTTGGGTGTTCATTTAATAGATAGATAGTTGGGGCCACGGATTTGGCTAAGTGGTTCTGCCACCTGCCTTGCAAGCACAAGGTCCCGAGTTGTTCAATCCCTGGTAACAAAAAAAGAAAAACAAACAAACAAAAAAAACCCCCCTCAAAACAAGATAGTTGATAATTCTTTGTGATTGTTGAATTTTGATGAAGCTATTTTTTTGACCATATGAAATGTCCCTATGAAATTTACCTTATTTGGGTAAAAGTGTTTTGCAAAGTGAATGCTAAAGACTAAAAAAAAAAAAAAGATAAAAGATTCTTTGTAAAACTTGTAGGTTTCCCAAGAATATGTGTACAATAGGCCTTATTTTTGGATGCCATCCTTTGTTAGGCAGAGCTCTGTGTGTTTTCTGAGCTGCATATCCAAAGTCTAAGAGGTATCGGCAAAGTTATCCCCAATCAGGCTAGAATTTCATCAGCCTTCCATTGCTAGAACTCTAGTATCTGTTTCATATTCAGTCACACAGGCAGTTCTTGATATCCTTAAGCACAAATTTCAATCAAGTGTTCACAGGCAATAACCCATCCCTACTGCTGGTAGACTTTTCGACAGGTATTTCCATGTAGCCTTCTTCTCTAATGCCTGGGCTTGAAGATTCAGTTTTTTGTGGCTGCCCTGAAGTTCGATATTCACACTCTCAATTTGGTGTGATTACAGTTTGTATGACATGTTACCATGCAATGGTTGAGGAACTGTCCCCAAACAGGTATGCGGTAATCATGCGGCTTACTACCTTTCTCCTCTCTGATCATACCTAACTATTGCCCAATGCATGACAAGAGTTGTTTCATCCTTATAGCAACTGAGTTAGTCTAGCACCAAATAATTTCTTGTGGATGCAGTATGTTCTGCAGATGCTAATTTATACTTGTCCTACATACTCTTATTTTGCAAACACTTACTCAAATATGTGTTATGTTTGTTGCTTTCTTTTACAGTTTAAGCTTTCCCCAAACATTTCTGATTTTTGATGCTATGATCACCAATTCTAAGCTCACTATACCGTTTTCCAGAGCTTGTGCCTGCCAATTATCATTATAGACATGAACAATCTAATTTAGGCCTATTGATAACCTGGCTTTACGACGATCAGAAAGTTAACTTTGCTTAACATTCAAAAATGTTACTGAATTCTATTCCAATATGCAGTATCAAATTCTGTTTCCACGAGGATCCAATTCCAAACTATCCTCATCTCATTATGCCACAGTAAAATAATCTCATAACTCATCTCTAATGCTTGTCCTTCAACAACTCATTTTCTGTCCATGTTTGTCAGAATGCTTTCTTTCAAAAATATTACCCACGTCATTTTATTTTTAATTTAAAATTCTCTAAGGACTTCTCAATGTATCTAGAGTAAAATTTAAACAATTTACCTACCACAAGGCTACAAAGGGATAACCAAAAATAGTGAATGTTTAAATTTTTTTTAAATTACAGTAAAAGACATACTCTATTAATCACTCTTAAAAGACTCCACCTTGCTTTGAACATTCTTATCCCATCACTCCTGTCATTTTCTGAAGCAGTTCTGAAAGTCCTATTTCATGAGGTTCTTTTGAAGGTATGATAAAACATAGTGTTGTCAAGTGCCATCCAATGGAAAGGCAGACTTCTAACAACACTATGTCACACTCAATCTTCCTTGTTCACTGGTTCTGGAACCATGAAACTTCTCTGGCTCTTCCCTAGAGTCATAATGACTAAGAAAGGTAAATGTTTTGAATTGATTTAGGACAGAGAGGCAGCTATAAGAAAGCAATTAAAGACATGAAAGAGGACTTTGAGAACTTCCGAAATGGGCTAAGCGTGTTGGAAGCAAGAGGGAGTACTTTAAAGGGAATCAATACCAATGTGTATTTTACTGTAATAATTTCTTTCTTGGGCGGGGGCGGTTCTCAGACAAGGTCTCACTGTGTAGTTCAGGTTAGCCTTGAACTTATTTTGAAGCCCAAGTTTAGCTTAAACTCATGGTGATCCCCGTACCTCAGCCTCCTGAGTAATGTGATTACAAGTAGGCACCACCTACCTTCACTTTATTGTAAGTTTTTAAAACTTAAATGTTTGCTGTATTTTACTATCATACCTGTCTACTTTTTTTCTGATTTCTTCTTATAGTACCTCTCTCACAATTTAGTAGCATACAGGTTGGCCTTCTTTTTGTGTCTCTAGTACTATACTTTTTCCCATCCCAGAGTTTTGAGGGTGAAAAAGGGATCCAAAGGTGTGAGAAAAAAATGTTCATTATCTGTATAACTCACTAAAAACAGTCTTTAGCCCAAGTATATAAAGAAATCCTGATAATAATTAAGAATAGGAGATAAAATACCATATAAAATGAGCAAAATATCCAAACAGGTATTTTATATCTAAGATAATAAAATTTGAAAAAGTCCTCAACTTCATAAGTTTTCAGGAAAATGTAAAGGAAAACCACAGTGATACTAATACACACACATGCAAAAAAATTTTTTTAAATGGAAAATACTAAGTGTTGTGTGGGCCAAGAAAATTCTCTTAAGTTGTTAATGATAGTAAGTTGGTATAAAACACTTTGAAAAACTAAAGATGAACATAAATACATTTTAGGACCTAGCAACTGTACTTTTTGGTATATAATCAACTAAAGTACATATACGTATACACACATATATGTGTGTGTGTGTGTGTGTGTATATATATATATATGTGTGTGTGTGTGTGTGTGTATATGTATATATTTATATATACACACATATATGTATATATGTGTATATATAAATATATATATTTATATTTATGGCTGTAGGTATTTATATTTATATTCACTAAAAGACATTTACTGGGCTGTTCATAGAACTATTTAAAATATCCACAAAGTGGAAATATCTACATGTTCAAGAACAGAATAAACATACATATTATGATGTATTCACACTAACAATGAACAAAGTGAAACCATGCAGGCAATTTGGCTGCTTCACACAAGCATGAGGCAGATATGTAAAAAAGAAAACCCAAACTACATTCTGCTTAATCCTATCATGAAGGGAAAGTAAAGAACAAACACAGACGAAACTATTATAGAAGTCACGGGACTGAGCTGGGCATGGTGGTACACACTTATAGGCCTGGACACTCAGGAAGGTGAGGGAGGAGAACTACTTGAGCCCAGGAGTTTGAAGCCAGTCTAGGCAACACAGCAAGACCTTTGTCTCAAAAAAACAAAAAATAAATCACAATACTGTTTACTCCTGTCCTTTATCAGACGTCACATGGAAAACTTTTAGACTATCAATCTGTATTTGGAAGTGAGAAGACAGAATTTAAGTAGTCTGAGTAGAGCAACTAGTCCATTTCTGGGGAAGGCAGTTTATTTAAATAAAGTTGCATCATCCCACCATTTACATTTCTTCATAACATCAGGAATGTTTGACATCATGTTCTAATAAAGCTACCATGATATGTGCTAATAACAGTTCTCGTCAAATAAATATGTAAGTTCCAGGAAGTATGAAATATACCTTCAGTCTGTGAAAGCGGACAATGTCTCCAATTTTATAAATTCGTGGAAGGGCTTCATAGTTTCCACTAAAAAGTAGGCAAGTTAACTTTACATTTGTTTGGTCCACAATTGTTACAACCGAGCAATAATCTGGAAAACACAAAAATATTTAACTTGACTTAAAGCATTTCAGAGCATTTTATACAATATGCTTACTTCAAAACACCAAATGAACTTTGTCCCTTCTTTTAATTAACTCTTCTAAGAAAAGGATGAAAAGAGACATTTTCTTGGGTTCAAGATATTTTCTTGGTATTATCAAATTAATCTACAAAAGTGTTCCAAAAAATTAATTTTGCAAAGTTTAGAAAAACAAAAATAAAAATACTGCTTTACTTTTTTGGAGAGGCAATTTTTTTATACTACTTCAAATATTTTAAATTGTTTAGCAGATGAACATTTTCAAATAAACCATAACTCATGAAATATGCATATTTACTTATTAAACTAAAAGTGAGGGATGGAGGTACAGCTTAGGAGTAGAGCACTTGCATACATAAAGCCCTGGGTTCGATCTCCAGCACTGCAAAATAAATACAAATTTACAGAGAAAACAAAAGATAAGACATTTACAATGAATGTGATAGTTTTATCTGAATTGCATAAAGATGTTATTAAAAAACAGAATTTTATAGTAAATATACTATACATAATGCAAATGAACATTTTATAGAAAACTGTATAATAGCAAAATATTCAAAAGAGTTAGTGAGTCTTACTAAATACCTGTAAAAGATTATATGTTAGAACAAGAGATTATTTTAAACTGGCCAAAATTAATAATTTGAGTTTCCAAAAAACTGGTAAACTTAATCATGCTGATAATAACACTGCAATAGACAGTGCCTTGTAATATGTGTTTCAGAAAACAGCACACTAAGAAAATGCAATGACTTCTTGTATTTCCCAGTACCCAGTGAGGATGGTAAAAAGATAGAAAAGAACCCAAAACAGTAAAGGAAAAAGAGGGGGAGAAGATATCAACTTATTTCCAAAAAGCTAGAAAGTGAATGGTTTGGTGAAATCTACAAGAAAGTACAAGATGGCTACATTGAAAATGGGAACTGCTGGGAATGAAGGTGGTGAAAGTAAAGCTGAAACCAGGAGGTTAATTAAAGCATTATAAACAGAACAGATGTTCATCAGTCACCATCCACTCCTAAACCTCCACTCCTACACTAGATTGCAGCCAGAAACAGTCTCAGTAGTCATCACCACAGGCTCTTTTCCAAGAAAGCTGTGTTGATTAACTGGGAAGTGGTAAGACTTCTTGTGGGTGGGAGAAGTCCCACGACTTCATCAAATGAGGGAGGAGACAGAGTGATGGAAAGTCCCCTTCTTACCGAACCTGTTCTGACTTTGGATCAGTATGTCCAATGTGAGTACTATCAGTCTGCATCTGATTTACCAATCAAAGGAGAGCACACTGGAAAATCAAACTACTTACACAAAACAAAAAGACAAATGTTGACAAAACCATACCTACATTCATAAATATAAAAATATTATAAAATATACAAAATATAAAAAGACAGCAAATAATTATCACATAGGTGCAAAAATGAAGAGGAGGGAGGAAAGAAGGTAGGAAGAACAGGGGAGGAATGAGAAAGAAGAATGAGGGAAGGAGAAGAGGAAAAACAAATGATTTTGTGAGGGGAGGAAAGTAACCCAGAGAATAAGAAAACATCAAAATGAAATAAAAAACTGAAAAAGTATGTTCAAAAAGAAGATATATCCTCATCCTTTGATATGCCACCAGTATCCACTGACTTAATTTTAGTTTTTGAGTTTCCTTTTTCATTAGTTCTAATTATTGATAGGGACGGTCAGTTCATGGCATTTAATCTTTGTTGAAGGATTTCAATGATCAAAGAAAAATTTTCTATTTTTAAAACACAGAATAAACCATATTCTTACTAAGAATCATGTGATTCTATTATATCCTTTTACAAATTTAAGATACATTATGGGAACTAATAGTCTCCCTATATCTTGAAAGATACTGGTATTCACTGTCCTAATAAGTACTGCATCATTATGCATCAGTTATTCCTATTTATCTTTAAAAGACTAAATTAATTTCAAGAAGGTGAAATGAGGAAATTGCCTACAAGAATGATGCAAGAGTGAAATGAATGACAATGAAGTCGCTTAACCACTATTACATGCAAATCCAGAGAGCAGCACTTTAGATAATGATAAAATTGTTCACCTATGTGAAATTTCATACTACTTATCTTTAGATAACATTCTAAATAAGATTTCTCTCGCAAGCTGAAAAACTGATACCCAAAAATGTTTCTAGGGATCAAAGGAAAACACAAAATATTAGTACAGAGAGGAAATATTGCATTCTTATTTAGCAAGTCATTTAACAGGAAGGAATACAACACACAATAAACTACACTTGTTATCTTTGCAGCTTGATTTACACATATATAATCAAAACTCCCACATGAAACACTTATATCACCAACCAGAAGTATGAACAGTCTTTCTGTAGTTCTGGTGCCTTTTTTTCCACTTAGAGTGATACAATTAAGCAACTTCATAGTGAAAAAGATCACTGACTTGCCAGAAAACAAAAACAAAAACAAAAAATGTGCTATGTACAAAGCATAAATATTTTGAAATGTTCAAGTTTTTTAAAAAATTTCTTAATAAAAAAATCACAAGGGTGATGTTGTGGTTTGTATAAAAAAAATCTCCCCAAAAGACTCATTAATGTGTTCAAAGGCGGGGCTTTTGGAAGGTGATTACATCGTGGGTTGTTAACCTCCACTGCTGAGTTCAGAGCTAAATTTGCTGTCAGGAGTGAGGATACTTCTAGGAAAGTCTTATGCCTTAAAAGGTGTATCTCCCTCTAGTTCTTTTGCTGCTCTCTGCTCTCTGGATTCCAAGAAATTCAGTTTTCTGCTATGCTCATGGAGCCAGCAAACCATGGACTAACACATCTGAAACCATGAGCCAAAAAGAAATTTCTCCTTCAATTTGCGTAGGTTAAATATTTTGTCCTAGCAACAGAAAAGCTGAATAATACAGGGAAAGGGATGAGTGATCTAACAACATTTGCTGTAGGCATACATTATCAAACTTAGTCTTTTTACATGTTTGTTTCTTGGCAGCTTCTATACAATTATATGAAACAGACTCATTTGTAATAGAATACTGAAACATCACATATTTGTATCAGAGAATTATTCAGTATTTCTATTTTTAGAATATTGTAAGTTGCAGTAATTCGACATTATTCCTCTTACTTTAAATGTTTCAAAATGATCCACTTTTGTAAATTGGAGATAGAATGCAAGAACAAAACTAAAATTTAATGGCATAAATGGTAACTGAATTTAAATATTAGCCAAGATGAAGTGACAGCCCAGTGATTGTAGCACTGAGACACTAACAAAGAATGTAATACCTTTAAAAAGGCACTGGGACTCTGAGTTTTAAAAAGCAGGTTTACCCTAAACTTCAATCTGAAAAAGGTTTCATACTATTCCTCCACCTAAACAATGACAACCTTCCAAAAGATGGATTGATCCACTGGCAATAAAATAGAGAAACACTGATGTGGGCCCATTATCTTCTGGAGGATCACTAATAGTTTTTGTTGTGAAAGTTTAAGACTCTCTTTTCTCAAATAAAAGTACTATACAATCTAATCAATTGTATAAGGAAACTTTACTGAGGCAAGAGAACATGTTTTGGCTACACATACACACTCACACCCCACTGGACCTGGCCATATATATCCTCACAAACAGAAACATATAATGCATATATTCAAAGGAAACTTTCCTATTTATCAGGAGTGACAGTGCTAGCTTTGAAAATACTGTGGGAATGGAGTGCCGAAAGAAGTAACCTTAGGGGATCCTGAAACTATAGTCACAGTAGTTATGCATATCAAGAAGTATATATCTGCACACCCAGCATTGTGTGTAAATGACATGAAAGCATGAGTTGGTGTAGGTTTATGTGTAGGCCACCCCTGTGAGGCAGCAAGACGTGGCCAGGAGGCCTCAAATCCCCATGTCTGTGTTAGGGGTCTAAATGGCTCTACATCAAGGTGGAACACCTCTGCACTGTACACCTGCACTGCCAAAATGCCAAGTCCCTGTTCTTAACTTGCTCTTGACCGATATCTTCTCATTTGAAAATATTTCTACGCATGACTGAAAGTAAATATAAACCAAAGAGAGCCATAACTGTATTCCATTGCTTTCCAAAATAAGATTCTGTTAATACACATAGGAAAGAAAAGGGAGGAAGAGAAGGAAGAAGGAAAAAAGGAAAAAAAAAGATCTTTACATAAAACAAGAGCCTCTCTGAAAACAAAAATCTGTATTATATAGATGGGAATGGTAAACAAGTATTCATATTGTGCGAAAGAATCACATGAAGTACTTATTATAGGAGAATGACTGTCACTGAATCGTTTGAATAAATCCCCCTAAAGTTAGATTTCCTTAGGATTTCCCTCCACTACTTCATACTGTTAAAAGTATTTGTTCTTGCCAGCGTGTTGCATTTAGAAGCAATGATCTTTTAACCTTTGCATCACTATGTTCCAGTCCAATTGTTTTTTAAACGCTTTTTTTTGTTGTTTTGTTTTATTTTGTTTTTTTGAGACAGAGTCTCCCTACGTAGTTGAGACTGACCTGGAACTCCCTATGTAGCCCAGGCTGGTCTCAAACTCAGTGATCCTCCTGCCTCAGCCTCCCGAGTGCTGGGATTACAGGCAGGCACCACCATGCCCCGCTGTTTTTTTAAATAGTAGTACAAAAATGAATCTAAGATTATAACCACCATCCAATAAGAATATTAAATGAACAAGGAATAGTTCCTTCCCACATGAAATTCATGTTTTCCTTATACTGATTCATATTTTTATAAAGTGATGTTATAATCTTATCTCTTATTATTTTATGTCAAAACTTGATAGTATACAGACTTCATACTTCCTAAATAGGCTAAAACTCTTCGTGATAAAGGCAGAATTAAATTTGCCAGAGTAACTGAGAGGTGACATTTGAGGTTGGCACAGACCAATTTAAGATGGTCTTAGACTCTAGCATTATATG